TTATGTCTCTGTGAATCACCACCTGGTCCCAACCATGGTGGAGATAGTTCAAACCCTCTGCAACGTCAGCGAGCACACGGCGGCGCTGTTTCCAGCCGAGCAGGGTTGTGGGTTTGTCGAAAATCCACCGATTAAGGCTTCCATTCGGCATGTAATCGTATACCAACATTAGTTCATTGCCTTTTCGACACCATCCTCGCATTTGGACTAGATTTTTATGTTGAAGCCTACCCATGCTCGAGATTTCCGCCATGAATTCCTTTAACCCCTGTTTTGAATCGTGATTTACGCACTTAACGGCGATTTCCGTGTTGTTTGGTAAAGTTCCTTTGAATACTCTTCCAAATCCACCGGAACCCAACAGATTCTTATCCGAAAATCCATCAGTGGCCTGTGAAAGCTCCTCGTTAGAGAATCTGTGAGGCCAATATTCGAGCTCCCAATCCTCAATTTCATCATCTTCTTCACTTGCTCTGTTCTTTCGCCAATACCAAAACCCCACAAATCCAGAAATTAAGATCACAAACACAACACTGCCGATTACAATACCGGCAACAGATCCCGGCGACAAGGAAGACGGCGGTGATGCTCTCATAAACACAGGGAAATTCGTGTTGTTAATCTCTCTAGCAACACCAGTGTCACTAAAACTCCAAGCCAAAATCCTCTGCGCCTCAACCCATTTTGTCTTCGACGCTGAAAATCCCACAAACATTTCATTCGATACATAATTTGCTATTTCAGGATCCCTAAAACTCAAAGTGGGTTTGGATGGACGAGGAGTTCCAATTGGGGCAATCGTGACATTGATTTCGAAATTGGACCCATCAAATTCGATCCAAGCGCGAAGGTTCTGCCCATTTCTCATCTGAATTGGAACAAAAACTCCATTAGGGTCAAAATACCCAGCGGTCTGTGTTTTTATCGACAACATACTGTTCAAATCGATTCCGATATGGCTATCATCGGGATCGTTGAACTCCGTGTTTCGACCGGTGTCGAATTCAACGGCGAGAAGAGGAGCAACGACATGGGTAGTGGAATTTGTGAAGAGACCGAAGTATTGACCCGCTATGACGTCGGGGGGTGAAGTGGAATTGGAAAGAACAAAGGCCATACCGAAGCCTGGACTAGTAGCGACTTCCAGCAAAATCGAAAACACGAAAGTAGTTGAAAAAGAAGAGATCGTAGTCGAATTCGAAGTGGGTTTCATAATCAGCTTCGTGTGATAGAAAGCTCGCCCGATTGAATTTGGGTTTGAGTCATTATTGAGGCGAATTACAGGGGAATCGAACCTCGCGTCGCTAATGAGAATGATGTCGGTGCCATTCGAGCCGTTTGTGAACGAATTGAAGATGAAATCAACTGCGTAAGAGGGAAAGAAGAGGATGAAGAAGATACAGAGCTGAAGTAGAAGTAACAGAGGTCGTCGTCGTCGTCTCCGCCGTTGTCGTTCCATCTCTTCCACCGTCGCCGGAGGTGTGAAGTTTCAGTCGATTCAGCGGTCTATGGAATTAGTCAAGATAGTGGAAAAGATCGGATGCGGAAAGAAGCTTCATATTGTGAAGTAATCTTTTCAGAAAACGCGGTTTATTCATTTTATGACCGTTGAATTGCATTGCCGCCGCCGCAACAAGAACCTTTTACTATCCTGTTCTATTTACATGGTCTTAAAGAGCTTGTTGACGACCTCCAGTTTTTAATTTTGTTTTTCAAAGTAAAACTGGTCTTAAGCTAATATGATTGGATGATTATTTAATTTGTTTTACTACTAATATACACCGTATAATGGGCTTTATTTGTTTTTCATTTCGGCCCATGAAACCCTGTGCACATGGGCTCGCTCGGCTTGTAGGTATAAGGCTCATCTGGATGGGCAATTTTACTACACAAAAATATATATTTATCCATATCTAAAATAATAAAGAAAATAAAAATAAATTTTGTATTTTATATCTTAAAAGGAGCAATAGAGACAAAAATCAAGAACCACCATGGACTTTCCTTCCCACGAGAATACTTCTTTCTCGATGGTCCGAGTCCAAGATATTAGGCCGACAAAGTCATTCTTCGAGGGCAATATCGTAAATGTGTGGATTTATCGCTTTTCAACCCAAAGCCTGTCCAAATCTGAACGAACCTGCAGACGAATTTCGCCCTCGTATTATAATTATCATTTTCTTTTTTAAATTTAATTTCCACTTATTTATTATTATTTTGTTATTTATCTTTTTTGTTATTGCCGACTTCCAACCTACTTTCGCTCCCACCACCAATATTATTTTCATTAAAAATAAAAGAAATTCATTCATAAAGTCCGAGTGTCAAAATCAATTCAAGGGCTAAATATGTAATTCACAGACTAATCTTCGTAATATATATATAAAGAAAAGGACATAACGGTAAACTACAAACACCGCCGTTTGGATTTGATGGATGCATGCATTGTATACCAGCACATGCATTTCCCTTCCATTTTAAGATAACTTACATTGTTAAATTTTTTAATTAATTAATATTTTCTTTTATTACTGGCCACCCAATCCATCAAACATTTACACGTGTCTAGACTTTAATTCCTTTCCGCTCCACGTGTCATGGTCCATGTCCACGTCGAATCAAGTTTCGACTCGAGTTCTGGCGGTTGCCCTATGCTAACTGCCGAGGCTTAGAAAAATATGAGTTTCCGTTGTCTTCTGTGAACTGTTGATAATGTTTTTTTTAATAGTTCGATCCACGTCGACAATCAACCGAATGGCATTGATAATTGACATTTTCTTACGTCATATCTCTGTGAATATCTTCTTCAATATGAAAATTGATAAAAAAAAAAAAAAAATTGTAATTATTATAAACTAATGAATTAATACGCTACGTTAGGTTTTATTCTATTTTTAGATAATCCTTAACGTAATTGTGGTTTAATTTAATTAATTATATTTAATGAAGTTTAAATTTGAATTAAATAGTTGCGGATGATTTATTTAGATTTAATTTTAAAGATTTGAAATTAAAATGGTAAACGACAAAAGAAGAAGAAAAAAGAAAGAAGGAACGAAGAAGTGGACCAAACACGCGGGAGATTGGTCGTTGCTTATGGCTTTGCTTAAACGACACCTAATCCTGTTTAGGTTGGCAGATGGGACCCACTTTAACTGCAATAATTTTTTTAAAATATTATTGCTTTCCATAATTAATTTTTTTAATTTAACAAGTGGTAGATATGGAAACCACTATGTACTTTTAGTCATCATTCATACGAGGATGTGTACGAGCTTATATTGCGACATGAGGTTCATGTTGAATAAACCATCCATGCTATGGTGCGAACGGGAGGCCAAATTATGCCCTTGCACGAAACGTCATTGAGTATATTGTGTGTGGAGGTAGTGGTGCATGACGCTTAAGTAGACATGCCCTCAATCAAAAGACTTAGGGTGCAACTTGCATGCAAAGACAGGATAGTTCATGAGATCTAATGATTCATGGCAAAGAAGCAGATTTCATCTTCTTATTGAAGTAGTTTCTTGAGCTCGTTCTTTATTTCCATCATTGTCTTTGCTCTAATTTATTATATTTTTCTTTATTGTTTCACATATTGTGATTGTTACTGGTGCGACGTTTGTGCATAATCATTGATGAAGTATATGACATCAAATTCTTCCCAAATTTATTTAATTCTTCAAATTTTCAAATTCGCATGATTTTTAAACTACAAATATAAATACACCAAAATAGCTTTTCTATTCTTTTATCTTAAAAAGAAAATTAATAATGATAATTTGGGACAGTCAAGATCACTCTTTAACAACGCAACACTGTACTTAAGATACCATTTTAATTAGCTACTCCTTCACTTTTGTTGCTCTTTAATTTAATATATCAACTCAACAAAGCACCTTTAATTATATTACTATCTACTTTCATACCAACTTAGTTCCACTATTATTACTATTATTATTTTTTTTTTCAAATCGAAAAAGTGAGTATAAGAATTAAAATCCACCACTAGTAGATATTGTCCGTTTTAATCTATTATATATCATCATTAGCCTTACGATTTTAAAACGTGTTTATCGGGGAAAGGTTTCCATATTCTCTGACAAGGAATATTCTGTTTCGCTCTCCAACTGATGTAGGGTCTCATAATGAGACTATTTGACGTTGCGTATTAGAATTCATTAAAGTACGATTCACATTATTATGTTCGAAAGCTTCTCGACTTCCGTTTCCCGTCCAAACATATTAGTTGGCGATAGAGATTTGGTAGAATTTAATTATGTTACCGATTAAAGTTTCTAATTATTTTCTAAAATTAAAATCAACTATTTCGGTATTTGTATTCAAAGTAGGCCCCGCAGCATGTTGCAATGCTCCCACTTTGAATAGGCCCTTTAAATTAAGTCGTAAAATTACATAGTTCATTACATAATGTGCATACTTTTCATAATAAGACCGGGGGCAAATATGACATTTTCTCTGGGACATCGAGTTATATTATATTAACCCAAATATTGTCACCATTTTCAATTATAACTAAATCCCAACTAAATAATATTATTACCAATATTTAATTTTTTAAAAAGCAAAAATATTCTTCGTTTCCGCGGCTCAACTGAGAACGTTCTTTAATTTTTATTTAAAAAACAATCCGAATGTTAATATATTTTTACTTTAATGGTTCAAAAATGTAAACAAGACAAAAAAATAAGTATGAAAATAGGAAAAATAAAAAGGAATAAATAGGCGCCTAATAAGAAGAGAGCTTCGCCCAAATTTCAAGCCAGAAAAGGAGGTTATACTTTACGAGGTGAACGAATGGGTAATCGCCACGTGGTCACCGTATTCCCCCCTTCAATAAGAATATTCGCGGTTCGGCCTCCCTCCCGCGTTACTTGAAATATTCCTATTTCATTAATTCGACGTCGTATTTGAGCATGTGGGTCCCACTAGCGTCCTCCTCCTCTCCCTTTAAATACCCGACAAAATCACTGCCTAAGGTTTGCAAAAGAGGAGTTCTCTCTCACCACATTCTTCCTTCTTCTACCTCCTGCTCTCCCTCTCTTCTTTCTAGAGATTTCTCTTCTTTCTAGAGACTTCTCTTCGGTTCTATTCGATTCGCACCAACAGAACTCGTTTACTTCATCTCACTCACAGTCTAAAGAAGATATGAGGTCTGATGCGCGTACGGGAACCCTGAAGTTTCTGTGTAGCTATGGCGGCAAGATTCTTCCCCGTCGAACCGATGGTAAACTCCGTTACGTTGGTGGTCTTACCAGAGTTCTAGCCGTCGATCGCTCTGTCTCGTATTCCGGTTCGTATTTTGTTCTTTCTCGTTTTGTTTCGTGACGTAACATGTACGTTTTGATATTTGTGTCTTAGGTGTTTATGTATGCGTTTTATTCCGTTTTGCAGAGTTAATGGTGAAGCTTGGAGAATTCTGTGGTTCTACCGTTACATTGAAGTGCCAATTGCCAGGCGGAGACTTGGAAACCTTGATTTCTGTTAGATCTGACGAAGATTTGGCCAATATCGTCGAGGAATACGATCGTGCTTCTTCGTCGTTGTCGCATCCTCTTCAAATCAGAGCCATTCTTTCGCCTCCGAAGTCTCTCAAGCAAATCTCTCCTCCGTCGAGTGTGGACTTCACTCTTCCTAATTCTCCATGCCACGGCGTGGATTCGCTCCCGAGCTCGCCGCAATACGGAGTCAACGACCGGATCTCTTCTCCTTCGTGCAGATTCAGTCGTCAGATCTCCTCCCCTCCTAATAAATACTTCGTCGGACCGCGAAATTGCCATGGAAGAACCTGTTGCCATGGGAGCCCTAGGTTTTTGTACTCCAGCCCCCACTACGCTCACGGGAACTGAAGATGAATCCCTAAACTCGAGGCGAGGACTCCGCATATATAAGTACAAACCCTAGGTAGACGATGACGGGGGCAAAAAAAAAGAAGCTAAAACAGAACAAGATAGTGTTTAGTTTTGGCTTGTGATTGATTGAGTGTTGGGAGAAAGCTTAAAAACTTTCGAATTAATTGGTTTGTGTGGTTGAAAAAAAATTGATTAATCCGGCCGGAGTTTTGCGAGAGGAGGAGTTCTCATTCTCAATCTCAATCTTAGTTCTTAAACTCCGTCACGGTGCCGCCGCACACGGTGCCCGTGAGTCGGCCTGAGGACTGTGCAATCGGGCGTGCCACGTGGCCTTCATTCACAAGTCTTTCTTAATATACACATTTAATTACCTTTTTGTGTATATTTTTGCGCCTTGATTTGCGTTGCGATACCCTCTGGCGTTAGAGGACGAATCTTCTGAACCGATGCAGCCTCCCCATTCTTGTTCGACACGTATCAAAATTCCGTCGGCTTCGTAATCCCTGCCAACTTCATACGTGTCTCCCATCAAACGTGTGAGTTTCTTCTTTTATTTTATTCTTTTTATTTTTTATTTTTCTTTAACGACGGTTTCATTGTTTTGGATTTGCAGTTTCTCGTGAGGCGAAGATGACTTGGGATTCGATTCCGATTCCGATTCCGATTCCAGGAGTTGTTGAAATATAATTAAAAAATCATTAATTGAAAATTATGTTAAGAAAGAAATCCACATAGGGTTGTGGGGGTAATAAATTTGGAGAGAAATTGGAAGAGCCAGTTGTGTTTTGGATGGCCATTTATTAAGTGGCATCACGAGGATGAAGGATTGTCTCTGGTGTATTTACGGGACTAACCTTTTGGCTTTTGGAGACGACATTACTAGAACATATTAGAAGGTATAATTATTATGTTAACCCGCCTCGACTAATATAATATAAAAAAACATAGCGGATGTTATTCAAAATATATTTGTAAGAAAAAAAATGAAAACATTGGTATAAATGAATGCAAACGTCCTAAGAATATTGCAATAATTTAAAAGAGATGTAATGCGGAATTGTTGAGAGTAAAGAAGGTGGAGGTAGATTCCTCCATATTAATTAAATCCACAAAGGAACTCATTTGTTGTGTATTTAAAAGAAAATCAACAACCTAGAAAACGAATAATGAGCTGTTTGCTGGATGAATCATTTGATTTGTAGAGGGGAGGCAGAGCCATGTGACAACAAGCACCACTCAATTTTTGGACTCTTTCTCACCTCATTCTTATTTTATATATATATATATATATATATATATTTGTTGACGCATTTTAAAATCATAAGATTGACAACCGTACATAATAGGTCAAAGTGAATAATACCTATCAAGCTCCAGCGATAGACTCAGACTGTTACAAATGGTATCAGAGCAAAACACCGAGCTGTGTGCCAGTGTCAAACTTGGACTATTATAAATGATATTAGAGTTAGACATCGAGCAATGTGTTAATGAAGACGTTGAGCCCAAAAAAGTGGATTATAAGATTGTACATGACGGCGGCTCTTCTTGTGCTTAGATTATTATATAATCTAACTTTTATAACTATTCAATTAAATTTTGATAATTATTAAATTAAAAAATTTGTATTTAGTTACACTAAGGTAAATAAACTTTCAAATTCATGAATTTTGTATCTAAGTATTTAATGACTCATTTATTGGTTTAAAAATTTATCTAAATAAACATAAATGATGAATTTTTGTGTCTGGTTGAATAATATTAGCTTTTATTTTTGCACATAATTATCTGTCAATTTAAAATAAATTAATTTTTTTTAGAAAGTTTAAATAACTAATTATACACCAATTTCAAAACTTAAATAAATTATTTTTGCACATCTAAGATAATAATATTATTATTAAAGAACCGGGAAATTTATGATTACCCGCTGTTACGCTTGTAACCTGTAACGACCTTGGATAACGTGGATTGAGACAAAACAGTGGCTGTGAAATAAGCGACGGAACCCTTCCCGTGGTATTCTGAGCGGACTGCAATATCTCAATTCTTTCGCTTTCCTACTCCCAAATCTCCACTCTATTTTCTTCTTCCCTTCGTTATTCTGATCCAATTTGTTGCTCTGCAACCACTCACCATGGCCATGGATCCGAACCCCAAAAGTTTCCCCATCCTTTCCTACGTCATGGCTAGAATCCCCTCTCTCAGTCCCCGACCGCCGGCCGTCGAATTCGATATCGAACAGCCTGCATCTCCGCCGTCCCGCCACGCTGCGCAAAATCCTTCCGATCTATCCTCTTCCTCCTCCCAAATCGTCGATGACATGCCCCATCTGTCGGACCCGAAGGTATTGGCTTCTATGACCAACGCCATCTCTGATGTTGCTCAGACCCGATCCATCCTCAAAACCCTTGGGGAGAGACCAGATCATGAGGCTATCGATACTGCCAAGGCTAAGCTCGCTGATGTAGAAGCCAATTTGTCTGCCAAGCTCCAGGAAATCGTGCTTTCGCCTAGGCCGGCGGATGTGGAGATGCTCGAGTGGAGGGCGCTTCTTGCTGAGAGAGAGAACGAGTGCCGGCAGGCGGCGGATAAAGAGAAGCAGCTGTATAGTGCAATTGTGCAACTGGATGAGATGCACGAGGCGTATGCGAAGATGTTAAAGGAAGCGGAGCAAAGGTTGGTGAAGATTTACGAATCGGCGGAGAGAGGTCTGCAGGAGGAAAAATTGGATCCAGTAAGCGAGGAGACCAATGAGGAGGTTGCGAGGATTCTTCAGGAAGCGAATGAGAAGGAAATAGATCGAATTAATCTCTCCAGCCGACGCTTGCAGTTCTTGCCTGAAGAATTTGGACGCATTCGGGGATTGGTTGTGCTTGATATCTCCAGCAATCAACTACAGGTTAGTTTATAGACAATTCAACATTACTGCGCTCCCACAGATTATACCAGCACCTATTAGGAATTCCAGCGTTCTTGAAATGAACTGTTTCTTCATGCAATCCAGTAGAACAGAAGGCTTCATTAGTTTCATATGGGTACAGGGGCCTTTTGTAGCTTGTGTGGAGATTAGAATATTCGTTAGAGACGCAAGATTCATTAACTTATTTCTGATCATCATGACTCTCCTAGAAGTCATAGATCATTCCTATATTTTGTCACTTGTGTGCATTATGTTTCAATGCTGGTTTTTAGCCCATCAGCTTGTTTGCATCTATAACAATAATGCGCCTAAGGTTGATGTTTGGATCAATTTTTAGACGCTTGTTTAGCATTTCAACATCTGGAGTCTCTCATTGAGGATACCATTCTCTTTCGTTTCATATTTGGAGATGGAATAAGTGGATGGGGACTATTCCATCGAAGTTCTGCTGATTGTAAATTTCTTTAACTGTCATCTTAAAGATGGTGACCATTTAGATCCTAGTACAATGGTGTTGTTAGAAGGGCCTTGTTTGAAAATTTACATTGGAATGTCAAGGATCAAGATTTTATTTCCCCTTTGTCACAAGTCCTTTATTTATTTGCCATTTAGAGTAAAGTTTTGTAAGAGATGGGGACTGGATAGTGCAGTGAGCGGCACAAAAATATAGGTGGTTTATGGCAAGATGCATAGAATCCAATGGACATTGGTTTGTAAGAACGGTGGTCTTTGGTAGAAAGATTATGCTCAAGAAGTCTTTCTTTAATGGAAGTTGCTGATATATAAGCCTGGAAACGGGAAGAAATTCCAACAATGTGGCTTGGCTGCTACGGTGAAGATTTGGAATAAAAAATAAATGTGATGGCTGGTGGTTGTCCTGAAATATAGGTTAACTCATATTTGAATTACCTATGCCTTGTGTGATGACCATTTCAGTTTTTGTTTTTGGTTTTTAAAAATTAATCTCGTAAACACTACTTCTCCCAAGTTTCTTTGTTTTGTTACCTACTTTTAAGAAGTGTTTTCATGCAAAGATTTGAAGAAAAAAAAAATAAAAAACATGGTTTTTTTCTGGGATTTAGCTATGAATTCAAAGGGTTTTTCAGAAAAGATGAAAATCATTGTAAAGAATGGTAAGAAAACAAGTACAATTTTCAAAAACCAACAACTAAAAATCAAATGGTTATCAAATGGGGCCTTAGTTTTATGAATTTGCTCATTTTTAATGCTCTATTTGTGTTAATGTGGCAGTCCTTTTAAAGCTTTCAGTCTTTCTTTTTTTAATTAAATGAAATTTCCTAGGTCTCCTCCTAAAATGAATGTTTTGCATCTCTATCTTTGCTTTAGTATATTACTCCTCAACTGCCTCTTTTTTATTTTTTATTCTTTTTCATGAATAGCTTGTGCCTTTTCACATATCTGTCAATGTTGGACTTGGATGTGAGTTTGCTTAATTGAAAATTCAAGACGAACGAATATTCATTTCTATGATTTGTATCTTTTAACTCCCACTTTCAACTGCTTCAGAATATCCCGGATTCAATATCTGGCTTAGAAAATCTTGAGGAGCTGAATGCCACATCCAATCTCTTGGAGTCACTGCCAGACACGATTGGCTTATTACAAAAGCTGAAACTCCTGAATGTCTCTGGGAACATGTTGCAAGCCCTTCCTGACTCAATATGCCATTGCAGGTATAAGATTCTAGTAGTCTACCAATTCAAGCCCTTCCTGATTTCACATGATTTTTTGAAGTGTATTCAGCGATGTTTTGTTATGCATCTGCATGCATTGATGGAGAAATTTCTGCCGCAAAATTTTGAGACTTTTTTTTGTTTCTTAAATTGGCAGGTCTTTGGTGGAGTTAGATGTGAGCTTCAACGCTCTAACGTACTTGCCAACAAATATTGGCCATGAACTGGTGAATTTGGAGAAGCTTTCTATCCAGTTAAACAAGATACGTTCACTTCCATCTTCTTTTTGTGATATGATCTCTTTGCGTTACCTGGATGCTCATTTCAACGAGCTTCATGGCCTTCCTCAGGCAATTGGGAAATTGACACAACTTGAATATCTCAACCTAGCCAGTAATTTTACTGACCTTACTGAACTTCCACACACCTTTGGTGATTTATCCAGCCTTAGGGAACTTGATCTTAGCAATAACCAGATTCACGCTCTACCTGATACATTCGGCCATCTTGAGAATTTAGAGAAACTAAACTTGGAGCAAAATCCTCTTGTAATTCCGCCAATGGAAGTGGTAAATAGTGGATTGGATGCTGTGAGGACATTCATGTCCAAGAGGTGGCTTGAAATTCTGGAGGAGGAAGATAGAAAAAGAACTCTTGAAATGGACGAACAGGTGCAGACTGGATGGCTGACGCGAAGTACCACTTGGTTGAAGTCTTACATTTCTGGGGTTTCAGAGACCGTGTCTGGTATTGTTGGATCTCCCAACAGTCCGAAAGACCCTTATCTCGAACAGCAGCTATAATCTGATGGAGCTCTTTCACCAATTTTTGCACCCTTTACTCTGCCTGTCATGGCCTTACTTCCTCTTACCCCACTGATTTTGGGACCTTGATGATTGGCCTCCATCAGATTCCTTGGATTCTTTACATATAGTGTCGTGAGAACTCATAACAAACCACAATTACAAGCAAATTTTGTTGGAGTTTGAAGCCTGGATGAGTTCGGTATTATGCGTTTTTGTAGTGTTTCTTCAAGTCTATGGCAATTGAACAGGTTGGGAAAATGGCTATGTTACTATAATTCACTGTAATAACCATATTTTGCCATCCAGTTTAATCTGGATAACTCTCTCATTCAGCAGATAAAAAAGAAACTTTCTTCTGCAGGTTCCCTCGACCAAGTAATTGGATCACTGGCTATTCATTTACCAACATTAGTATCACATCCTGTCCAAAAAAACCCAACTTTTTGTCTTTTGATAGTTTCTTGTGTATGTGTATATTTTCCAGTTGAGTTACTCATTTCGTAGCAAAAATGGGCTTTTGAGCAATATAGAGAAGAAATCCCTCATCTGAATAAATTATAGGGCGCGCGTAGATTTTATCCTGCACGCTATGATCTTCATTAGATTGATACGATGGTAACAACTAATCAGTCAATCCTAATATAATAAAGATAAAAAGTTTACTCTAAAGGTTATTTGAACTAAAAAAATATATTAATAGTTATGTCATCTGAGATTGTTTGTTACAATTAAGTTCATACACCTAATTCGTTCGTTAATGAAAACATACCAAGATTGATAAGGTAAACTTGAGCCACCCATCTTCAACCTATATCGGTAAAGGCATTCAAATTTTGAAAATTTTGAAATACCATAAACATTGAAGTTTTAGTTGCTTTACATAATCGAACAAAACAAAGGGTGGGTTTGTACTATCCAAAACAGGATCTAAAAGTAGGCATGAATGAGTGGTGAAAATGGAAAAAAATTAAATAATTGGAGAATGGGATTAACCAATAAATCTCACTTAAATGGCTTTCCCCAATGTTCCTGACGAAGTTTCTTGTGATGAAATAACAATAATTAAGCCCTAGAAAAGAAAAATATGGTTGTTTTTATGATACTTGGACCAATTTGGACTGAACCACCCATATAAAAATGGAAATAAAAGGTTTTGGACTCTGAATTCGAGGGATCGAAAGGAAAAGAGTGACCATCCTCTGAAGGCTAAGATGAATTAGGTTTAAAATATGATGGGCTTGAAATGGGAATTGGGAAATCATTAAAAGCTTAGGCTTTAGTTTAAAGGAAAGCTTTACATGAAGTGAAACACACGAACGGGAGAAGGGAAGAGACTAGAAAGCGGGGGAAAGTAGTCCAGGCAATTCCAAGCCACCACTCTCAGAAAGATCAGTTCCATGTGCCTTCCATTAGTTTACGGCTCCCACACTCTTTATTGCTTCATTATTCATTCATAAATCCTTCCTTCTCTCTCTTTCTCGCATACCCTTTTGTTTACTTACTCTCTCTCTCTCTCTCTCTCAGCCCCTTCCATGATTCTGTCTGCAGATCCAGAGCTATATGTTCGCCATGATTGAATATGCTCAAAACCCATCGACCCCATTTCAGTTCTGCTCCATTATGGGGCTTACTCTTAATGCTTTCTGATTCTTAACTCTCGGTGGCTTTGAGATTGGTTCGTTTTCTTTGCTCCCGTTTTTGGGGATCTTTCTCCTTTCCCTATCAAGTTTTTAAGCATTCCCTCTGCGGCTTTGTGGGTGCTGAAGAATATGAGGGACTCTTCCCTTTTCCCTCCTCGACGTATTGGTTATCCAAGTTTTCGATTGATTTCTGGGTCGGCTTTTGAGGTGTTTTTGTAGGCAGCACAAAGTACAATCAAAGCTCTCAATCATGTATTCTATTATTTTTCCTTTCGTTTGAGCTTATCCCTTTTAGTTGCTGTAAGATAAACATGGGAATTGCAATTGCTGGATGACGTGTTCTTGATTTTTCCAGAAACATGGAAGCTGGGTGTAGATTCTACTCTGCTACGGATGAGTTCAAATTGGAAGGCAAATGGTTGGTTGATCCCAAACATCTCTTCGTCGGACCTAGAATTGGAGAGGGAGCTCATGCCAAAGTTTACGAGGGCAAGTATGAATTCTCTTAAGATTCTCATGTTTCTCTGGGTTTATCTTTTCTGGCACTGCTAATTTTGGTTTGGTCTTCTTCTGTATTGATCCCCTTGAGAGGAATTCGGTTTGGGAGCCCTTTTCTATCTCGAGATCTAGAAATTCTTTTCTTGTTTCATGAGAAAATCTACAGTATTTGAACAAAACATGTCTCTCTTGTTCTAGGATTTGTTGCAAGAAATTCTACATGTTTCTGACCTGTTTGTGTTCTTCTTGCTGTACTTGAAATCTCGGTATTCTGTAGAGATCAAAGATAACCCAGCAGTTTGCTATGTTTCCATGATTTTGGCCTCAATTTGCTTCAACTTTCTGGGATAATTCTACTGCATTGTGTTTTGTTTAGTGATATCATTCTATGGTTCAGGTATAAGAACCAGACTGTTGCTATCAAAATTGTTCATAAAGGGGAAACAGCTGATGAGGTTGTAAAGAAAGAAGCTCGGTTTGCTCGGGAGGTTGCAATGTTGTCTAAAGTACAACATAAAAATCTTGTCAAGGTTTGATTTGATTCCATGTGATACTAAGAAAGCTTTTGAAGAATGGCATGAGTGATTTACCCTTTATTATGCTGGATCCTTGCGTGTATCAACAGTTTATTGGTGCCTGCAAGGAGCCTGTAATGGTGATAGTAACGGAGCTTTTATTAGGAGGGACCTTACGAAAGTACCTGCTCAATATGCGTCCACGGTGCTTGGACACACGCGTGGCTGTTGGTTTTGCGCTTGATATTGCTCGTGCTATGGAATGCCTTCACTCCCATGGCATCATTCATCGTGATCTGAAACCTGGTAGTCTTTTTCATCCACCTCATAATCCCATAATTCTTCATGCCATTTCAAATGCTTCATTACCCAACTTTTTTAATGAATTAGTGCATTGCAGTAGTTTGGGCAGAACTTCAAATCACTGCAGGATGCATTGCCATGATTTATTTTCTCAATTTCAAGTTGCATTTAGGCAGAAATTTGAGCTTAGTAAAGCATTTGGACCTTCTATTGGTACTGGATTCATAAGACTTCTTGTAACAGCCCAAGCCTACCGCTAGCCGATATTGTTATCTTTGGACTTCCCTCAAGATTTTAAAACGTGTCTGCTAGGGAGAGGCTTCCACACCCTCATAAAGAATGTTTCGTTCCCATCCCCAACCGAATTGTGAGATCCCACAACGATTGGAGAGGGGAACGAGTGCCAGCGAGGATGCTGGGTCTTGAAGGGTGTGGATTGTGAGATCCCACATTGGTTGGAGAGGGGACAAAACATTCTTTATAAGGGTGTGAAAACCTTTCCTTAGCAGACACATTTTAAAACTTTGAGGAGAAGCCTAGAAAGAAAAACCCAAAGAGGACAATATCTACTAATAGTGGGCTTGAGCTTACATTTAAGCTTACACTTCTACTCCATTCATCCCCTTTACTGGTTGTTGGTCCTTAGTTGTCGCCATGTTCTCAGTTACATACAGTCTTATTAAGAACATTAAAGAGTTCATAGGCTGACAGCTTCAACTTGCTTGCTTGAATTCATTGGTTTCCTTACCCAGAACTTTCGTTGAGCAGTAATTGTTCTAGAGCTTTTACCTCCGTGTTCTTGAGTTCAAAAGAGACCTAATATTTCTTTTATCATCCAACAATTCTTATAAAATTTGTAATTCAATGTGTTGGCAGAGAATCTTCTGTTGACTGCAGATCACAAGACAGTTAAATTAGCTGATTTTGGCTTGGCAAGAGAAGAGTCGTTGACAGAGATGATGACTGCGGAGACGGGGACCTACCGATGGATGGCTCCAGAGGTGCTTGTTTTAGGAAGTATAGTTTGGTTGCATTCATTCTGGTTGCTACCTGAGAAAAATATTCCAAAGTTTCTTACTTGCATTGTTATATAATGTCTCAGTTGTATAGCACTGTGACACTAAGGCAAGGGGAGAAAAAACATTACAACCATAAAGTGGATGCCTATAGCTTTGCAATTGTGTTATGGGAACTGCTACACAACAAGTTGCCATTTGAAGGCATGTCAAATCTTCAGGCAGCATATGCCGCTGCTTTTAAGGTAATCAGATTCTTCATATGCACTCTATTTACCATGCCATTTCTCTGATTGATGCTTCTCTGTTGCTTCAGAATGTAAGGCCTAGCGCAGAGAATCTTCCTGAGGAACTGGCTATGGTTCTAACATCATGCTGGCAGGAGGATGCAAATGCTCGTCCTAATTTCTCCCAAATTATTCAAATGCTACTCAATTACCTTTACACTATTTCACCCCCTGAGCCGATGATTGCTTCCCGATTTTTCTCTTCTGAGAACACGGTGTTTCCTCCCGAGTCTCCCGGAACAAGTTCACTGATGGCAGTCCGTGATGATTCAGGGGAGACTCCGAAAGCTAAAATGGAAAATAATCCCAGAGGTTGTTTCTCCTGCTCCTATGACTGTTTCTAAGCTCTAGAATGATGGGAAAAAGCAATAGCAGCTGATGGAAAAGCTTAAGGTCAATAAGCTATTTCCCTGTTTAAGTGCAGAGTAGGCAGAGGAATAACATGTTTTGTATGTAACTAATGCTTTCCTTTCTTCCCCACCATGTATCATTGAGTGTAGGTGGTTTTAGTTATGTAGTAACACAGCCTAAGCCTTATATCAGCATAATGGTAGAATGGAAGATAATCCTGCTGTTTTGATGTATGATTTTGAAGATCCGACTTCAAATCATTGCTGCCAGTAAAGGATCAATAATTCCTTCTTAATGCATCTCCACTATCTACTTATATCTATTCCTTTTTCTTTTTATTTCTACTCTCAATATCATGATCTAAGAAAACTTGTACAAGAATTCTTTTCCTAATCTCTTAGATTCTACACTTCAGTAAGCATAACCGGTTCATATTTCCAGTTTTGATGGGTAAATTTAGGACAGGGAAGAGGTGCATTTCATGTTCTTCTTCAACTTAGTGCCTTGTGCCTTCAATCGACCAGATATGTACAGAAATGAAACTAAACTGCAATTAAAGATATATAACTGAACTGAAAAGACTTCCCTTTAACTTATCTCAAACAAGGGATTACCAATAGTCATTACAGGAGCAAAGACCGTCTTCAAAATGATGAAAACGATTCCGATCTCTAACGATGATTGTTCTTTTATAGACTCGTGATATGATCTTGGTTGCATTGTGACAGTCCCTGCATATCCTTAGATTTTTTGAAATTCTAATGGTGGTTTGAAGAGGTGTCCGAATAAGACCATAAGCAATAGCTAGCTTCTCGCTATGATGCAACACCGAAGTTTCTTTACTCTCCTCTTCTTCAGCCTCCAGTCTAGCATCCTCCATGTTGGGCAAATATCCAAGCGACTTGATCCGCTTCATCATTTCATCTAACGCATCGTGTATTTCCTTAGAGTGAGTATGATCTCCATCTTCAGAAAAAAACTCATGTACTACACCATCGAGCTCGATCAAACTACAACCTGGTGTCTTCTTAATCTCCTTATCTTTTATCAGAGATCTCACCCTGAGTGCATCCTCAACCCTACCAACCAAAGCATAAGTATTTGACAGAAGAATGTAATCTCCACTGTGAGCAGGCTCCAAGAGAGTAATGTGGTCAAATGATTTTTCTGCCATTTCAACGTTTTTATGAGCTTTGCATGAAGCCAAAAGTGTCCTCCAAACAACAGCATTGGGTGGGATGGGCATGTTAGCAATAAACTGATAGGCTTCTTGGAGTAGCCCAGCTCGTCCAAGAATATCAACCATGCAGCCATAGTGCTCAATCCTTGGCTCAATATCAAAACCCCTTCTCATGCTATTGAAAAGATGTCGGCCCTGATCAACCAGACAAGCATGGCTACAAGCAGAAAGAACAGCAATGAAAGTTACATCATTCGGCTTTACATTGTTCTCTCGCATCAAAGCAAAGAAGTCCAGAGCCATTTCCCCCTCCCCATTATTGGCAAGACCCTGAATTAGTGCTGTCCATGTGAAGACATTTGCGAAAGCCATTGCCCTGAAAACTTCAACTGACCTATCTATATACCCACATTTAGCATAGAAATCTATCAGCTGTGTTCCAAGACTAACAGTGAGTCTCATTTTCTTCCTCTTTATGTAGGAATGAACCCACTTACCGGTTTCGTATGCTCCGAGAACGGCGCATGAATACAGAACACTGACCATTGTTACCTCATTTGCATCCACTTTTGCCTTCTGCATCTCATGGAACAGATCAAGAGCTTCTTTACATTGATCGGCTTGCGCGTACCCTGAGATCATTGCGCTCCACGCAACGACATCTCTTTTATCCATTTCATCGAACAACTTTCGAGCAGTGTCGACTTGACCACATTTGGCATACATATCAATTAGCGAAGTTGTTAGAGTACTGTTTCTTCTTAGCCCTTTTGACACAATATACTCACCAATCAACTCACCCAATTCCAGATCCGCTAATCTTCCACAAGCCATTAACACGCTAATCATTGTAACATCATCAAATTCAATATGGAGTTCCAGCATTTTTCGAAAGAGTTTCACGACCTCATCCCAAAGCCCATTCTTCGTGTAACCAGACAACATTGAATTCCACGCAACTGTTGCTCGTTCTGACATTCCATCAAACACCTGACGTGCAACCCCAACTTGTCCACAATTCGCATACATATGAATCAAAGTATTTTCTACAAACTCATTTGATTTGAACCCAGATTTCAGAATGAGCGCGTGGACCTGTTCGCCTTCCCTCAGCGCTCTCATTCTAGAGCAAGCCTTTAAGACAGAGGAGAAAGTGAATTTGTCGTGTTGAACCGAGTTTTCATGCATTTTCTTGAACAGGAGAACGGCGTTATGAGGCGATTGCTTGAAAGCAAGGCCCCTGATCATAACATTGTAAGCCGACGATTCAGGTTTGTCCATGTGATTGAAAATGGAAAGGGCATAGTCTATGGAGTTGGGAAGAAGCAAAGCTGCGGACTCGAGAACGGCTTCTGCAATGGTGGGGTCTTGGAGACGGCGAGTTTTGAGAAGGTGAGCGTGAACTTGACGGAGGTCTTTGGGAGTTTTGCATTTCTGAAGAATCAAAGATTTTGGATTTTCAGGGAACTGGGAAAGGTGGTTTATGGAAGTTACAGATGTATTGGGAAGGCAAACGACTATGGACGCCATCTCAGTGGAGAATGGAGCTCGGAAGATTCAAAATTTCATAATATCATAAGCTTCGGAGCTGGACTCAAAGCACTGCTACCAAACTTCAAAGAATGAATATCATAAGCTTCGGAGCTGTGTTTGGCGGCGGAGGATTGTTGTAGCGGGAGCTAGCTGGCTCATCCACGCAAAGGGAATCAAGCGCCCTGGTCCGACAATAATGAAATCTTCTGTCTGCAACTAAACACAGACTTGCTGTTGGTTTCGTTTTAGAGTATACTCAGCTTCTCTCGCTCTCTCTCAATTTCTTCTTAGTTAGATAATTCATCAAGTGGAAGAGCCAATAGCCACCCTACCATGTATTGTCTTTTTAATATTTTTTCTTTGAAGCTTTATTTCAACGTTTTAAAACGAGTCTAATAAAAAGAGATTATACTTCGTTCTCCTCTCCATCGGACGTGGAATCTCATAATCCACCCCTTTGTTCTCCTCTCCATCGGACGTGGAATCTCATAATCCACCCCTTTGGGGGCCAACGTCCTCGCTGGCACACCACCCATGTGTAACAGCTCAAACTCACCACTGCGAGTAGATATTGTCTTATTTGAGCTTTGATTTTTAGGCTTCCCCTCAAGGTTTTAAAAGAGGGAGATATTTTTACACCCTTATAAGCAATGTTTCGTTATTCTCTTCTCCAACCAACGTGGGATCTCGCATTAAGAGTTATGATTTCATCATCAACGACTATATTCAACTTAACCCCATCAACATTGCACCATCGAGATGATGAAATTAACCAAAACATTAGAGCGATTATCAAACTTGTAAAAGCCACAAAAGCCATACCTAGCCATAGAATCCATCACCAGCATGAAATCATCGTACACAGCCAATGAACACTAGCATTGCTTTTGATATAGAGATGTCTTTCACTTATTGAACTAAATAATACATTCCCACAGATTAGAGCATCTTCAGCAACTCCTTGCGAACATCTAATACACAACCAAACTTGCAAGTGTAATTCAGTGAACGTAAACCAATTGATAGACAGCTTGTGGAAACAGAGGCGTCGACACAAGCCCAACCAGATGGTTTCCACAAGCCCCAGGGCCTTAAATACGCAATCCTGAATACAATATATTCCAAAACAGACAATAAACTTGATTGATCTTACTTGAACAACTTTTGAACATATTATCCAAAAACAAGAATTCCCAGATGAGAAATGCAGCTACCAATCCTATGACATACTAATGTCAGTCAAGCCGACAGACATAAGATGTTGGCACCTAAAAGATAGAAACCATCTCAAAATAGAACATTGATTGCTAACTTGGAATCTTAGAACGCATAGTTGCAGACTCGAAGGGAAAAAAGGTATCTGCAAATATACAATCATAGAAGCATTATCCAGCCACGATGATGTGTTCGACTCGAACAAATATATGGCATTGAATCCAGAATGATCCACAAAAAAGAAAAAGTTAAAAAATTCATTGATGTTGGTTCAAATTTAGCCTAACTGAAAAGGAGTAAAGAACAATTCAGTTGGTTCCGCAATTAAGTTGCCTCTTCTTCTCACTCACTCACTCAATTATTGATTGAATCACACCAGCTCCTACAGTCTTTCCACCTTCTCTGATGGCAAATCTCATTCCTTGTTCACAAGCCACCGGCATAATCAGTTCCACAACCATTTTAACTCGGTCACCTGGCATCACCATTTTCGACTCCTCGTCCTTGTCGTTCATAATCGAAGTCACCTTACCTGTGACATCGGTCGTCCTCATGTAAAATTGCGGTCTGTAACCGGCAAAAAAGGGTGAATGCCTACCACCCTCCTCCTTCTTCAACACATACACAACTGCAAGAAACTTGGTGTGTGGGGTGATAGTGCCAGGCTTGGCTAGAACCATCCCTCTTTGGATGTCAGCCTTCTGAACGCCTCTAAGCAACAGCCCTACATTATCCCCAGCCAAAGCCTCATCAAGAATTTTCTGAAACATCTCCACTCCTGTCACTGTTGTGTTTCTAGTTTCCCTTAGTCCTACAATATCCACTGTTTCTCCCACCCTAACCGTGCCCCTTTCGACACGCCCGGTCGCCACAGTACCACGACCAGTAATAGAGAACACATCTTCAACAGCAAGCAAAAATGGAAGATCTGTTTGTCTTTCGGGTATTGGAATGTAGCTATCAACAGCATCCATAAGTTCAAAAATTTTATCCACCCATTCATTTTCGCCTCTAACAATACCAGGGTTTGCCATTAGAGCTTCCAAAGCTAACAAAGCAGAACCAGCAATAATTGGGACATCATCACCAGGGAATTCATAGGAAGAAAGCAACTCACGCATCTCCAATTCCACAAGCTCCAGAAGCTCCTCGTCATCAACTTGATCCTTCTTGTTGAGAAACACCACCATATTGGGGACACCCACTTGCTTAGCCAACAAAATATGCTCCTTCGTTTGTGGCATTGGGCCATCAGCGCCCGAAACTACCAAAATTGCGCCATCCATTTGAGCAGCACCAGTAATCATGTTCTTGACGTAATCAGCATGGCCAGGGCAATCAACGTGGGCGTAATGTCGGCTCTCAGTTTCGTACTCGACGGTGGCGGTGTTAATTGTAATACCTCGAGCTCGCTCTTCAGGGGCGGCGTCAATTTCGTCATATTTCTTTGGGGCTTTGCTCAAAGCCATTGTCAAAGCGGCAGTGAGCGTTGTTTTACCATGGTCGACATGCCCAATTGTGCCGATATTGACATGGGGTTTCTTCCTCTCAAATTTCCCACGGGCGGCCCGAATCGTCAAGGAACGAGGAGGGTTTACAGCGGAGGAGGAGAATGTGAGAGGGCGAATAGAAGAAGGGTTCAAGAAAGAGGAAGAAAGCTTAATAGCGGAGGAGGAGGAGGGTTTGGCGAAGAGGGAAGAAGAAGGGGAGGAAGAGGGAGAAGCAGAGGCATGCAGGAAAAGAAGGTTAGAGGAAGTAGAAGCGGAAGCTAAGGAAATAGCCGCCATTGATGAGTGAGGAATCCGAGAGAAGAACTGGAGAAGACGATGGGATTCAGCGAAGATAAGAGAGAGGGCCTCAAATGGGCGTTGTTCTATCCATTTCTGCCATAACCACAATTCTCTCTGAATCAGTAATGAGCCTTACCTTCGGTATCCTCCACTTTCTGTCCTACTGCTCTAAAAATGGGTGCCTAGGGCTACTTGCGAAATTCCCATCCAATTAATACCAAACCACTCCACTAACTCAACGGTGTCGTTTTCCACTCCATAACCATCACAATCTAACCACCACACCAGTACCACACACTTTCCGTGCTATTTATTATTATATATAAAAAGTTAAAATTTGAAAAAAAAATGTAAAAGTTTCAGTAAATGCCATGAATGTTTTAAAACTCATTAATGCCCATTTAATTTTTTTCACTTAAGAAAATATTCATTTGGTAAATTTTTATTTTTTTTAATTCTATAAAAAAAAAACGTACGTACTTGTATTTTGAAATTTTAAAATTTTTAAATGCATATTTACATTTACAACTGAAACTTTTAATAAATGAGATTAAGAGTTTATAATTTAAAGGTAACTATAATTATTTTTTATGATTTATAAATTTGAAAATAATAATTATAAAAAAAAAAAACAAAAAAACTTGGATTTGATTTTCATTCATTTATTTATTTATGCTATCCACTTTAGTGTTCACATTCAGCCACAACCATTGAAGCTTCATGCAAACGTCCATGTAGAGTGTGAAGCCGAGCTATCTTGTTTTCATTTATGGTTGTAGAGAAGTTTGAGTCTCACAGATATTATTTCCTTCTAAGAACACCAAAATCTTCAATTTCTGAAATTTCTGGATTCAAATGGAAGGTGATCTCCTTGTTGCGTTGATTGGTCACCCAGTTTCCGTCGCTGGTTTCATTGTCCTCTTCATCTGGCTTTTGTTTCGTCAAAAATCTTCATCACAAGAAGAACAATCCTCGCCCCCATCTCCACCAACAAAGCTTCCAATTTTCGGACATCTTTTGAAGCTTGGCTCCCATCCTCATATCACTCTCCAGAGCTACGCCCGCCGCCATGGCCCTCTGTTTCTCCTCCACCTCGGCTCCAAGCCCACCATCGTGGTCTCTTCATCCGAAATAGCTCGTGATGTCATGAAAACCCACGATCTTGTCTTTGCCAACCGACCCAAATCGAGTATTTCCGATAAGCTTCTTTACAACGCCAGCGACATATCAGCTGCTCCTTATGGCGAGTATTGGAGGCAGATGAGAAGCGTTGGCGTACTTCACCTTTTAAGTAACAAAAGGGTTCAATCCTTCCGCTCTGTGAGAGAAGAAGAGGTCAAATTAATGATCGAGAAGATCCAACGGAACCCAATATCGGTGAATTTGACTGAAACCTTCTCTGGACTGACCAACAACGTGGTTTGCAGAGTGGCTTTAGGGGCAAAATATGGAGTGGGAGAAGATTGGATTAAGTTAAGGTCTCTTCTATTGGAATTTCTGGAGTTGTTAGGGAGCTTTGGCGTCAGAGACTTCATTCCTTGGCTGGGTTGGATCGATGGTATCAGTGGGCTGGACGCCAAAGCAAAGCGGGTAGCCAAAGAGCTGGATGTTTTCCTAGATAGAGTGATTCAAGATCATGTCGATTCGGAAAACAGAGACGAGAATTCTGATAAGCACATGGACCTGGTCGATGTTCTGCTTTGGATACAGAGAAACAACTCCATTGGTTTCCCCCTTGAGATGGATAGCATAAAAGCTTTAATCTTGGTAAGCCAATCTTGCATTCATTTTTCACCCATCAACTTTGGTTGTGGTTTGGTTTTGATTGTGGTTTCGATTACAGGACATGTTTTCAGCTGGCACAGACACAACTTCCACAGTATTGGAGTGGGCAATGTCAGAATTGTTCAAACACCCAGAAGCCATGAAGAAATTGAAGAGTGAGATCAGAGAAATATCAGGCGATCAGTACGTAAACGAAGATGATCTAGACAAAATGCATTACTTGAAGGCAGTAATGAAGGAAACGTTGCGTCTACACCCACCAATCCCACTTCTTGTCCCGAGAGAATCGACCCAATGCATAAAGCTAAGGGGCTACGATATTAAACCCAAGACCCGAGTGATGATCAATGCATGGGCTATTGGGAGAGACCCAGAAGTGTGGGAAGAAGCAGAGGAGTTTCGGCCAGAAAGGTTTATGAACAGTTCGATAGATTTCAAGGGTCAGGATTTTGAGTTAATCCCATTTGGCGCAGGGAGGAGAGGATGTCCTGGAGTTGAGTTTGCAACGGTGATAAATGAGATAGGTTTAGCAAATCTGGTGCATAAATTTGAATGGATGTTGCCAAGTGGTGAGGATTTAGACATGACGGGGGCGTTTGGGTTAACCATTCATAGGAAACATCCTCTTGTAGCCACGGCAACTCCTTGTTAGAGTGTTGGAGGCTTTATTGCATGTGTTTTTGTTGCCTTTTATCTTTATTGTATCCATTATGATTATGTAGGCAGCCTATTAATGAGAACTGGACTCAAGAATATAGAACAGAGCATCAGCAGATCTCTCCAAGACATATAATTAATTCCAAGCATCCTCATCACACAGAACTCTCTACTCTAGCCAAAACCTCAGAGACCTTGGTCTCTCATGTCTTTCATGCTACTTCACAACCCACCCTAGTAAGTGACCTTAGTGAGACCGTAAGTCTTGAATATAGCGACCCAATTGCTGAGCGCCAATAAACAGGGCATCAGCAGCAAGGAAGACTGCAATCTGTGCCATGATAATTAAACACGAGGCTTAAGGGAGAAGTTTAAGATGAAACTGAAAACTTGTTAACTAATACATCGAGATGAAACATTACCAGACGAGCAGAGTAAACCAAGCGATAACCCCAACCCTCTTTGGCACCAGCCACCCTTTGTTGATCGGTCCAGCTGAAAGTCATGGGGGAAGTGAGTCAAACGACAGAGAGACAAGCAGTTTCAGAGTAAATTAAATCTATTTGATATGTTCTTTTTGCCCTTTGAAGGAGACAATAGGTTGAAATCATCTGTTACCCAAGGAATTCTGAGAGCCCACCAATCCCAGCAAATTTCAAAGGCTGAGGACCTTCTCTGGCAAGATCCTGTTCCAGGTAAAATGATAGACATTACCAAATTTCACTTTTACAGACTGGATTAACAGCAAGAAATCGAATACACCAGAGAAACAGAGTGGAAGTAGAAACTTCGAAGTAATAATATCGATACCTCTTCTTCAGCAGCGTCTAGACCCCCTTGAACCCAGAAGAGGTTTTTGTAACCAGCATTGTAGAGGAGCTCGCATGCAGCTAGGGACCTTCCAAAAGTGTTGTTCAGATGAAAGAAGCCCAGTCAAGATTATAAATTCCTTACAATTTGGTCTTTTTGAAGTAATTAACAAAATCATTGGTTTAATTCTTTTAGCGAAAGTCTGATACAAAGAAAAGTAATACCACACTAGTAAATTCACGATAACATTAGTTAACGCTGGATGAGAGATATCCTAGAAGATTACATGGTCCAATAATTTCAAGTAAAATAACAATGTGTGCGATCCTTTCATCCCGCAATGTATTACCATAACTTTAACCTGCTGCTTATTGCTGGGTTCAGTATACTTCATTGCAACTATAGTTAGCTGAGCAAATTTTCCATCACTAATTACATGGAAGTAAGAAGATAACGTGGAACCGTCCATACTCATAGATATTGTCTGTTTTGGACCGTTACGTATCGCGGTCAACTTCACAGTTTTAAAACGTGTCGGTTAGGGAGAGGTTCCATACTCTTATAAAGAATATTTCATTCTCCTTTCCAACCAATGCGGGATCTCACAATCCACCCCCTACCATGGGCCCAGCATCCTCGCTGGCACACCGCTCGATGTCTAGTTTTGATATCATTTGTAACAGACCAAGTTCGCCGCTAGCAGATATTTTTCGTCTTGGCCTGTTACGTATCGTTGTCAGTCTCGTGGTTTTTAAAACGCGTCTGTTAGGAAGAGATTTCCACATTCTTATAAACAATGCTTTGTTCTCCTCTTCAACCGATGTAGGATAGGATCTCACATCATGATTAACAGTTACGGAAAGTCAAGAAATCATTATATCCCAAGTTGCAATCTCAGTGTACAACTCAACATCGATTGTCTACAAACATTTCCTCCAAGCCCAATCAGAATAAGGAGATTACCTCAATCCCTTTTGACATGCAAGAATAAGGTCAGCATCTTTTGGAAATTTCTCTTGAACTTCTGACAAGAAGCGGCTGTTGAAGTTCAGGCAAAGAAAAAGGTAAATAATTAACAAAAAAAAGGAGTAGAAGAATTGCTATGGCCTGCGTATACCTATTGTAGGATACTGTAGGCACACCACTCCACCAACCCCCTAGGAAAATATAAGAACAACGTAAGGAACTAACTGCCAAAATAGCTGGATAAAAAAATAAAAAATAAAAATTTCACTAACACCCCGGCTCAAGTCTACTGCTAACAAATATTGTCCTCCTTAAGAAAAATTTTAAAACGTGTCTGCTAGGAAGAGGTTTCCACACTCTTATAAAGAATATTTCGTTCCTCTCTCCAATCGATGTGGGATCTTACACGTTCCATGGTCAGTAATACCCATTACTTTGTATGATTAACTAATCTTACTGGCAACCATGAGAAGGAAATTAAGTGAAGTAATTTGTTTCTCTGGGAAAGCTGCAAAATGAGAACCAGAGAACTAGACTTTGGTATTCAAAGAGAAGATAGCAAGAGTTCCATCGTACCCATCATGAAGCTTGTGACCTTTCGAGAAAGAGTTCCAGGATCAACTTTGTCATCAACTTCAAAGATAGGGATCCATGTTGAGCCTTTAACCCATGCCTTCAAAACATGGGAGAAACATAAGTTGGAGAGTCAAACAACGAACAAATATGATATCACAAACACCTCAGTGGTCTACCTTTTGGTGTTCTGTAGAAGGACGCACATCAAGCAATGTCTTATCAGAGAGTTGAATGGCATAACCAGCTTCCCTTGGCGTCAGAACTTTCACTTTGCCCTCCCGAATCTGTAGACATAAATGATTAGTTCACATTAAACAGCACACATTTATGAATCATTCTACCAACAACAAAATTTTTGAATGAACAATTCAGGAAACTTAAAAATGCAATCAAGAAACAACGCGGTTGAAAAACTCAACTTCGGAGATTATGACTAAACCATCAGGACATAATGAACATACTTTTTAATAATCAATGTAAATATCATATAACTTGTTGATTTCCAAAATTAAGTTGAATCCCAAATCCCAAATCCCAAATGACTGTTACGAGATTGATAGATTTGCTCTAACAATTAATATTGATCCTCTAGTCACTACAACCAAACAAACTTCTAAGTCATAGGACTAAAAAGCAATACCATTACAAAACAAACGGTTGGTACCAACCAGAGAGTCCCATCTCTTTTTAGCTGCAGCCATGTCCCTCATTTGCTTCAGCTCATAGTCTTCACTGTCACTTTGCATTTTGATAACATTGGACTGCTGGAATAAACATTGACGTTATAGAAACAAATGGATCACGGAAGGAAATAAGACCTCGTTAAGACAGCAATCTTTCAATTCTTTTCTAGGTTTCGTTAATGGTCTCCAAGAAAAGAATCAAACACTACCAAAATTGAAAAAAAAAAACAGTAAAGAATTACGCACATAGTGGCGGGTACAATGAAGGGGCCTGAACCTTAAGGTGGATTGCCCGTAAAATTTACAGTGATGCAGTGTTCCGGGCAAGTTGGCGAAACTCCCATTCTGCAAATTAGAACAGGAAATGGTAAGAGAATTCGTAGAAGGAAGCGCCAGAGCTTCCATGATTATGCTCTGAACTTAGCGGGAGTGAGGACCGTGTCCAAATGCTTATCCAGCGCCTATATCCCTTAGTCCCACGGGATTACCATTATCCAGAAATCTGTAAATTCATTACTCGGATCGAGAATCAAGATAATTCAGTCGGGGCTTTCCATTTAACAAGATGGATCAGTTTGACCCGGACCCGAATCCGAAACCCATACATCGTTTGGAATTTTTCTTTGCTCTTAAAAATTAAACTTGCTTGTAACAAGACTTCCATGAAATTTTCTTAAAATAATAAAGTGATTAATAAACTAACCACTAAGGATCAAATTTGTTTATAAAAGATTTTATTACCATAAATTTAGATTATTACAAACTTCAAAATTGTTATCGAAACTAAAAATATATTTTAGATTTTTGTTGGTATTTGAAGTAAGGGTAAAATCTTGATCAAATTAAATGAGGGTAAAATTGAAATGAAATATTAATCAGTCTAATTTTAATAAAATTCTTATATTTGGAAAGTTGCTATATTTAAAAAAAAAAAAAAAAAAAAAAAACTAGATCTTCTTATTATAATAATTATTTAATTTAAATAATATAACTTTTTTATTTAATCATGTCGGGTGACTTTCAAATCTTAATATAAATGTGTTTCTTCCTTGACTAAATAAACCATAAAAAGATATATTATTAATATTTAAAGGGTAGGTAGCCAATTACACGTGGAGCTAACAAGTAGGAGTGATAGGTGTGAACAAATAAGAGTTAAATTAATAAAAATTATTTGGTCTAAAAAAAAATATATAGTCTCTACAATATTTTAAACTTTTAAAAAATATATAAATGAAAATGGTTAATATTATGAATTTTTAAAAAGTATTCAAAAATATTTTTAAATATTTAAAAAATAAAATTTCCATTAATAATACCCTTTAACATTTTTTAAATTAAAAAATACCTCTCTGATTAATATTAATTTTTATGAAAGTCTTTTTTTTTATAATTTTTTTTGAAGTCTTTCTTTTATATTGCTATCAAGGTTCAACGGTTTGCTTACCTTCCAACTAAGAAAATATGGAGGGAGGGAAGTGGAGTGTTGTTATCCTGACACGTAGATATTTATATTTTAATTAATTTGACCAAATCAATCAAATGACTTGTCCCACTCAAACGTTGTGTTTAATCATTTTCCACGACCAGGATTCTTATATTAAAATTTTTCCAAAATAAATAATAAATTAATAAAAGATATTTATATATTTAAAATCTTGGAAAAAGTATAAACTTCTTCACATCTCGCTCAATTCAATTTAAAGTGACAAATTCAATTTTGTATTTAATATATTTTTAAAATTGTCAAACAATAAATATAAATAATATAATGGGGTTTTGTAATTTAAAATACTAAAATTGGGTAGATATATGGCACATGGGTTGCTCAATAAAATTGAATTTATTTAAAATACTTACATTATTAATGAAATCTATCTATCTATCTATATATATATATATATATATATATATATAGTTCCTTCAGCTTTTGATTGTGATAATGGGCAGCTCATTAAATATTCAACCTTTAATTTTCCCTTAAAATTCGGGTTTGATGATTTGGGAATAATATTTGGAAGTTGCAGAGAGAAATAAAGGATTGCGGTATAGAGGACGTGTCGGGATCGGCGAGAGTAGCAATCAGAATTATTTTGGCTGCGCGGGAATCTTCCTGGAAATTCATCATTGCCAAATAGCAATTCTTCTAAAACTCGCTTTCCTGCCCATGAGCTTCATCACCTAATTTCATCTCCTTTTTTGTTTCAATCGTATCGGTGCTTCTGTTGTTCATTGTTCTTCAAGAATTGCTCTGCCTCGCACTCTTGACTCGCAGCAGATTCTCCTGCTCTGTAAGTTTTGTTCGCGTTTTTAATTTATTCTTCTTCTCTCTGATTGGATTCTGTTGATGAAATTTTGTATTTGGAGTTTCTTATTTGCTCTGATTTGTGAGGGAGTGTGGCTGAAACTTTAAATGCAGCTCTTGCATCGACTTTGTTTATGCCGTTTTTTCAGATTGTTCTCAGCCGAGTGAAATTTTCTACTCTTTTTGTCGATGGGATGGATGATTAAATTCTCTGTTTATCGATATTCTTCTTGCGAAATTTAATCCAAATCTTCGTCAGATCATTGCTCTTGAATATTAGCATTGCTCCTAGTAGATTTTGGGTTTGGATTGCCTCTTGGAGATTTGGGTTTCTTGCAAAAGTTCTCGGAAATCCTTGCATGTACTTGTCTCTGGTATCAAACCACTGAATTTACATGTTCTGTACAAAGATACGAAGCTTTTATCATCATTCAACCTTCTAACAGCAGGGTTGTTTTGTTTGTCTTTCATTTGGACTCTTTCTGATCTTAGAACCCATTTGTAACGGCCCAACCCACTATTAGTAGATATTGTCCTTTTTAGGTTTTCCCTCTCAAGGTTTTAAATCGCGTTTACTAGGGAGAGGTTTCCACAGCTTTATAAATAATGTTTCGTTCTCCTCCACAACTGATGTGCGGTCTCACAATCCATCTCCTTCGGGGCCAGCGTTCTTGCTGGCACTCATTCCTTTCTCCAATTGATGCGGGACCCCTCCAATCCACCCCCTTCGGATCCCAGCGTCCTTGCTAGCACACTGCCTTGTATCCACCCCCTTGGAGGCTTAGTCTTCTCGCTGACACATCGCCTAGACACTCTTATACCATTTGTAACTGTCCAAGTCCACCACTAGCATTTATTGTCCTCTTTGGGCTTTCCCCTTTGAGCTTCCCCTCAAGGCTTTAAAACGCATCTACTAGAGAGAAGTTTCCACACCCTTATAAAGAATACTTTGTTCTCTTCCCCAACCGATGTGGGATCTCATACCATTCATTTCATTTGTATAGTTAAACCTCTTTTGTGTTTTGGGCCTTGTTTTGTGAAACCTAGCTTCCTCTATATATAAAAACACAGAGAATTTCCGGTGAATGATGCTTACAATCAACTTCATGTTGCAGAGTTCTTGTAAAGTGATGGGTGGGAAAAGTTCTAAGCCTGGAAGTTCAAGACGCCATTCGTCTAGTTGGTCTAACTCACAGCAGTGGAGTAATTACAATTATCCGGGGTCGCCATATAATCAACCAAGGCCACAGTATCAGTTTGCACCTCCAACTCCAAGCTATGGTGGAACTCAGGCCCCTGAGACAAGAAAGAGGCTGGAGAGGAAGTATTCAAGGATAGATGATAACTATAATAGTCTTGAGCAGGTCTGCTGCAATTCATATTGCAAAATTTTATTGACACTAAATATTTCAGCATGAAACTCGTTTCTATACTCTGATACTCTTCACAGGTTACTGAGGCATTGGCTCGTGCAGGCCTCGAGTCTTCGAATCTTATCGTTGGTATAGATTTCACAAAGAGCAATGAGTGGACAGGTTCAGCCTTGCTTGGCCATTTAACGTTATAATCTCTTTCTTGCATAGCATGTGCACATGCTAACTATGCCCTTTACATAGGAGCAAGATCATTTAACCGTAGAAGTTTGCATCACATTGGAGATGAGCAAAATCCCTATGAACAAGCAATAGCAATTATTGGGAAAACATTATCTTCCTTTGATGAAGATAATTTGATTCCTTGCTTTGGTTTTGGAGATGGTATTTCTTCTAAAGATTTTTGCAGTTGATCTGTTTTTCGCACATTTTTGTTTGAATAAACAGTAGTGAAGTATGTGACTCTAAATGTTGGCAGCATCGACTCATGACCAAGAAGTTTTCAGCTTTTATCCAGACGAGCGAGTTTGTATTGGATTTGAAGAAGTGTTGGATAGATATAGGGAACTTGTGCCTCATCTTCGACTTGCAGGTTGCAGTCTGACCATTTGCTATTATACCTTTCTGTTGTTGGCTTTTACTTACTGTACTTTCATTATTTCATTCCTGGGACAGGACCAACATCATTTGCTCCTATTATCGAAATGGGTATCACAATTGTAGAGCAAAGTGGAGGACAATATCATGTATTGGTAATAATAGCTGATGGTCAGGTACTTCCATCTCCATTCCAACTTGACTTCAATTTTGATTGTTTTAGAGCTCATGTTTATAGCATAACTTCCTGTTTGCTCCCAGATGCATAAGAAATTAGTAGTTATGTAAATGATAATAGTTTCACAATGAGCAGTGAAAATATGGAACCATTTAATTTCAGCCTAAAGAACAGAAACAAAAGTTGCATCTGCATCGATTATGTAACAACTCAAGCCCACCGCTAGCAAATATTGTCCTCTTTAGACTTTTCCTTTCGGACTTCTCCTCAAGGTTTTTAGAACTCGTCTGCTAGGGAGATGTTTCCACACTCTTATAAAGAATGTTTCATTCCCCTTTTCAACCGATGTGAGATCTCAAGGTTGTGGGCAGGAACAATGTGTCAAAAATTCTAATTTTTGAAGGATGTAGAAATCTTCTCATTCATAAATCATGGCTGATTAAACTGATATGAGTCAGTTTTATTTATCAAGCAATACACTGCTTGTTCAGTAAGCTATTCATAATGTATGTAGTCTTTAAATAGAGTTTCCAGCCTGACTGATGTCTGTGGCGAGTACTAACTAAAGCCAAGTTTTCTCATGGTGGTTGAAAAATAGTCTTTATTCTCTTTGACAGGTTACAAGAAGTGTTGATACAGAGGGTGGACAGTTTAGCCCACAGGAAAAGAAAACCATTGAAGCAATTGTGAAAGCTAGGTACGTTAATTTATCAATAATGGAACAGAAATGGCATTATTCGTGCTCTGTAACTTCATGTTGAATTGCAGTGCATATCCCCTGTCGATTATACTGGTCGGAGTAGGGGATGGACCTTGGGACATGATGAGGGAATTTGACGACAATATCCCGGCTCGAGCCTTTGATAATTTCCAAGTAACTACTCTTCTTAGGAGGGTTTTAGTGTTTTGTTTCTCAAACTGGACTTGCTTCTGTCATAGCTTGAAATCTGAGAAATTCCATTTTGCACTGCAGTTTGTGAACTTCACAAATATAATGTTGAAAAATATGGATCGAGCTAGAAAGGAAACGGAATTTGCTCTAGCAGCACTCATGGAAATACCCTCCCAGTATAAAGCAACACTGGAGCTTGATATTTTGGGGTAATAACAGGATTCAAAAGTAGTATATTGTAAGATTCTTGCAGTTAAATGGTAGTGTATTTCCTTCCATGATTTTTTTCTTAAATAGTATTCTCTTTCACTACTCCACCAGTGCCAGTAGAGGGAAGGAAATCGACCGATTTCCTCTTCCCCCTCCTCGTTATGGTCCTAGTTTCCAGAAGACCTCAAACTCGAGCAGCTCTCGCCCAATGCCACCCTCATTTGCTGGAGTTGCTCCTGTCCGATCTGCACCTCCTCTAAGTTCGGTTCCTGATGCCCATGTAAATGCTTCTTTTCCCTTATTAGATCCATATTATCTCAGCAATGAAGACTGAGTAGAGCTTCTATTCTACTGGGTATGAAAATTGAAAAATGGAAATGAAGATTTTTACACCATCTGTTGCAGGCTTGTCCCATTTGCATCTCCAATGCAAAAGATATGGCTTTTGGTTGTGGACATCAGGTAATCGCATTGGTAACTTTCATATTGAAGCTTTTGATGCCTGACTCAATCATTACCTGGAAGAAACACTAAACTTTTACTATCTGCAGACATGCTGTGAATGTGGACAGGATCTTCAGTTGTGCCCCATATGCCGCAGCTTTATTGAAACTAAGATAAAGCTTTATTAGCTAAAACCCTCTGTGCTGAATTCTTTCTCATTTCCCAATATCAACTCCAGCTTCTTGCTTGAGTCGTCTTTGCAACTCCTTTACTGGGCTCGAAAAGGCGTTGTTAATTTGGTAAGTCGAACGATATAATTTTGTAAATATCGATAGTTTGTCCCACTGATTTTCATTCATGTGTTTCCATGTCATTCCCTAAAATGTCTAGAAATGATGCTTGTTAAGTCTCGTGGGGGCAATATACGCCTCGAATTCTTTACGAAAACTAGTTTTTCATAAGTATGAATGTAATTACAATATCTTTAGTGGCATAAGAGACTTGATTTCTCATTACCAGCTGCATTGAACTCTACCTAACACCCTCACAGAAAGAGGCGCTTGCATTGCTTTCTATACGTTACAGAAATAGGCTGACTAAGTTTCAGGCAAGCCTCACGCTCTCTTATGCATGACAGCTTCTATATCCTGAATTTGGGCCAAACTAACTTACAGTATTTCTTGAATGAACCAAACTTTTCCGCGAACATTACTCACTCAACTAGGTGGGAAGCTTATATAAACAACTTCACCTCTTCCAACAATATTCAGACCAACCCACATGGCCAACCATAACCATTTTTCTGCAGTTCTCATCGTGCTGCTGCTGCAATGTATACAACTCAGTTGTGTAGTTGGAGTTTCCCAACCAACGCAAACAGGAGGAAGGTGGGAGCTTCTTTTGAATAACACTGGCGTAGTGGCCATGCACATGGCTTTAACCCGCCACAATACTGTTGTTGTATTTGATCAAACCAGTGCTGGCCCGTCTCAATATAAACTCCGTCGAAGATTCGGGGGGGAAAGGTGTACATCGGCCCATGCCGACAATATAGACCCCAACTGTTATGCCCATTCTGTGGAGTATGACATTTCAAGGAATGAAGTTAGAGCTCTGCGGCTATCTTCCGATGCATGGTGCTCCTCTGGTTCCTTCCTGAGCAATGGAACTTTGTTACAAACAGGTGGGCATGGTAGCGGGTCTCGAAGGATCCGCAAATTCAGGCCTTGTAAAGACCATCATTGTGACTGGAGTGAATCCCATTCACTGCTATCAAATGATCGTTGGTATGCTTCGAATTTAATCCTTCCCGAGCATGATCGGGTAATCGTGGTGGGTGGTAGGAGGGCCTTCACATATGAATTTGTTCCAAAAATGGGGAAAGGGAAGGCCTTTGATCTACCGTTCTTGCATCGAACTTTTGATGATCGGGAGGGAGGAAACAATCTCTATCCCTTTCTTCATCTCTCCTCTGATGGGAACTTGTTCCTTTTCGCCAACAGAGACTCTGTTCTCTTCAATTATAGACGAAACAAAGTGGTCAAGACATTTCCTCGAATACCTGGTCGGGGGTCGCGGAATTACCCCAGCACTGGCTCGTCGGTGATCCTCCCATTGGATCACGCAGACAGGTTTCGAAAGGTCGAAGTCATGGTGTGCGGGGGCTCTGCTACCGGAGCTTATAGGGCAGCAGGACGTGGGCGGTTCGTGAAAGGTCTGCAATCATGCGGAAGAATGGTGATCACTGGGAACACGAACAAATGGAAAATGGAACAAATGCCAGAACCCCGTCTCATGCACGATATGCTGATCCTTCCAACGGGCAATATCTTGATCATTAATGGCGCTAAAACTGGCAGTGCAGGATGGGGCAACGCAAGAAACGCTTCCCTTCGACCCTTTCTCTACAAGCCTAAAAACAAACCAAACAGAAGATTCTCAGTCCTGAAATCTACCAAAATAGCAAGAATGTACCACTCATCAGCGATTGTTCTTACCGACGGAAGAATCTTAGTTGCGGGCGGGAATCCCCATAGAAATTACACATTCGAGCACGTACATTACCCGACCGAACTCAGATTACAAGCATATCATCCAGATTATACTGAGCCAAAATACGACGGTCTGAGGCCAAAGAACGTGTCGATACACTATGCTCAAGGTGATCACGGCATCAAATACGGCAAACAGTTCACCGTTCGATTCAAATTGGAGAGGAGAAGGAGCGGTGTTCTGGAATTCAACGCTTACGCACCGCCATTCACGACTCACTCGATTTCGATGAATCAAAGGTTGCTGAAACTGAAGAACAGGAACACGGAGATAGACGGCAATGGCCAATGGATAAGTACCGTTGTGGAGGCTCCACCGTCGCCCAATGTTGCACCCGCCGGTTTTTACTTGCTGACGGTCGTTAATGGCGGAATTCCCAGCGTTTCTCGGTGGATAAGATTCATAAATTCCTGATTCTACGAAGCTTTCGAAGTAACTTAGTTCTCCTGCTTTAATATTTTCAACTTTGAGTTCTTGGGTGAATAAGACAATATCTCCACGAATTAAAAAAAAATCTTCCATATTTGGATCATATTTACTTAATCCAAATTGTTTATGCAATAAAAATCATTTAGTATAAAGTTATTGCATTATTCAAGAAATTTATTAAATGTGGTGTTAGGTTTAATTTATTGAAAAAAGAAATTAAATAACAAAATTGACGTTTGAAAAATAAAATACTTAGGAGAAATATTTTAGTATTTTGACACGTCATTTTGTGATGTATTATTTTTTTGCTGTATAAAAAAAATCCGTCAATCCTCGTCATAGCTACGTAAGATTTTATCTCGGTCTACTCAGACAGCAACGCTCCACTTCACCGAAATTTCCACTCTACCTGCCAACACATATCCACGTCAGCCAAAAACCAAAAAAATACTTTAAAATTCGGGAAGCTCGAGAAAGCAGGAACATTAAATAAAAGGTCAGCTTTCAAAATGAAGATAATTCTAAAAAAGACGGATAATAACTATAGAAATTGTGGAACGTGAAACTTATGGAATGTTCTAAGAACAAGCCGGCGTTTAATTTAATTTAATTTTGATACAATTTTCTTATTTTATTCCTTGTAATTAATTTGGGTGCTGTTTTTCTTCCTTTCCATCATTACTTGGTGCCAATAATGTTTCACGAAACATATCCATTTCTGTTTCAGATGGAGATGAATCGAGGGCGAAATAAAGAGAATTTATGCAATTTTTAAAAGAATTCCCATTGTTTCCCACCAACCAATTCAGGTCGTCTTGTTCTTGTCTTTCCTTCTTTCCGTTTCGGTCTCTTAGAGAAATAGAGATTAATGGGGCCTATAAATTGGTCGCACAGTATTTGATTTTCAATGTATAAACCCTTCGCGTTGAAAATCTCCCCTCTCCAACGTCTGGTTTCAACCGATTTCTTCAGATTTCGCTACCCATTTCGTCCAAACCTTGCTTTTCAATCAAATCTTCTTGCATTTAGCTTTCGTCAATTTGTTTCCCGCTCAAAGTTTGGGGGTAGGGTTCGTTGTTTTTCGAGTTTCAATTCGAATATGACGATCACGACCTTGCCGAGTATCAAAGATGGATGCCTCATCGTCGGCGACAAGGTGGTTCTGAACGCCGTACCGGACAATGTTGTTGTCTCTCCAGTGACGCATCGGGCAGCTTTCCTCGGCGCCACTGCTTCTAGCTCTAGCTCTCGTCATCTGTTTTCGGTCGGAATTCTTGAGTGAGTATTTTATCTTCCTTTTGCCCTTTTCTTGGAGATTTTACACTTGCATGTATAAGAGATAATCTATACTATTAGATGAACATGACTATGATATTGTCCATTTTGAGCCTAAGCTCTTGTGGCTTTGCTTTGGGCTTCCCAAAAATGCCTCATACCAATGGAGTTTGTATTCCCTACTTATAAACCCACGATCTTTCCCTAAATTAGCTGAGCTGACGTGGGACTTTCATCCTCGTTTGACCAATTTTCCTTTGCTTGGCATGGATCGGATGGCATAGTTTTATGATCCCATATGGACCTTCTTGCTTTGATGTGATATCTGATGAACAAACAGAGAACTCTGCTTATACCAGCAATTAAGTCTTACATATACTATGAGAAGTTAACGTTTCCTTATGGGATTTGGGGGTTTCAATGCAGAAGGCACGAGTTTTTATGCCTATACAGATTCAAAATGTGGTGGATGATACCAAGAATTGGGAAGTCAGGCAGTGAAGTGCCTGTGGAAACCCAAATGCTTCTTTTAAAAGTGGCAGAAGAATCTGCTTTGAATGATGAAAGTTCAGCTGATCAAGACACTGATAGGTCTTATTACATCCTGATTTTGCCTGTCTTGGATGGATCATTCCGTGCAACTTTGCAAGGAACCCCACAAAATGAGCTTCAATTATGTGCTGAGAGTGGTCAGTTCTGTTTAATCATAGGTGTTCCTCTTGGATATGTTTGAATTGGATCTGATTATGGTGTTTTCTTTTAGGGGATGTTAATGTTCAAACTTCAAAAACATTGGAAGCTGTATTTATAAACTCAGGAGATAATCCTTTTGAGCTCATTACAAATTCTATGAAGTATGCCTCTCTCCTTTTTTTGTGATTTCTCAAACAAGTTAACGACGGGAACGAAATCCTCTAAGTTCACCTCGTCTTGTCGTGTAGGGTACTCGAAAAGGTTAAAGGAACTTTTAGTTGCATCGACAACAAGAAGGTGATCAATGTCATATTGTTCTTAGCTGTTTCGTTATTGCAGGAATTTGTGTTAAAACTTCGTATCTTGTTTTCCTTTTGATAGATTCCTTCGCATTTGGACTTGTTTGGTTGGTGCACTTGGGATGCGTTTTACACCGATGTTAATCCACAGGGGATAAAGGAAGGTCTTCGGAGGTAAAATAAAAGACGTGAAACTTTATACATATCATGATGATGATCATTCTTCATGATCCATTTTAGATGAATTTTATGAGTTGCATTTTTGTTTTTTTGTATCTTCATAGCTTTTTGGATGGAGGTGTTTCCCCAAAATTTCTAATTATTGACGATGGATGGCAAGAGACCGTAAATGAATATCGCAAAGAAGGTGAACCGGATATCGAATGGATACAGTAAGTATGGACCTTTCTGCTGAAACTTAGTAATCTCGTTAATCAAAATTTTTGGTCTCAGAATCACTCTCTTAGTACAAATTTTACTTCTTGAACTGTAGGTTTGCCACGAGATTATCGGACATCAAAGAGAACAAAAAGTTCAGGGGTTCTGGTTCAGATGATTCTCTACAGGAGCTTGTTCATAGCATTAAAGAACAATATGGGCTTAAGTGAGTTCACTTACAATCATGATTAACTCTCTTCATTCATTTTTGGTATCCAAAATTTTGTTGAGGATGGTATTATTGACATTTGCAGTATTTGCTTTATAACATTGCAGATATGTCTATGTATGGCATGCTTTAGCTGGTTACTGGGGAGGCGTGCTCCCGTCTTCTGAATCAATGAAGAAGTACAATCCTAAGATCGAGTATCCCATTCAGTCACCAGGGAACGTTAGCAATCTTACAGACGTTGTCGTAGATATCTTGGAGAAATATGGACTTGGAGTTATCGACCCTGAGAAGATTTACGAGTTCTACAATGATCTCCATGGCTATCTAGCGAGCATTGGCATTGACGGGGTCAAGGTGGATGTCCAAAACATAATGGAGACCTTAGGTACAGGACACGGTGGACGTGTATCAATCACTAGACAGTATCAAGAAGCGTTAGAACAATCAGTTGTAAGAAACTTCAAAGAAACTAATCTGATTTGTTGCATGAGTCATAACTCCGACTCGATATACAGGTTTGTCGATTTGCTTACTCCTAAATGCCTCAGACAAGCACAAATTTTTTCGACGTACATTTTTTTTATTTGTTAGTTTCTTCTGTCAGTTCAAAGAAGAGTGCAGTTGCTAGAGTATCAGAGGACTTCATGCCTAGAGAGCCAACGTTTCAAACTTTACATGTTGCTGCTGTGGCTTTTAATAGCCTTCTATTAGGGGAGATTGTTGTGCCAGATTGGGACATGTTTCATGTAAGTTTTTCGGTTAAAAACTGCACCGTTGGAGACACTTAAGATCACGAAATCTAAAATGTTGCGTTTTTTCAAAAATTTATAGAGCAAACATGAAACAGCTGAGTTCCATGGTGCAGCAAGAGCGTTGGGTGGCTGTGCTGTATATGTTAGGTAGTACACTTGCTTATGACATGTTTCTAATTTGTATTAGCTAAGCTCTTTGAAAGCATTGCTAACTCGAACTGACATCAAAACAGCGACAAGCCCGGGAACCATGATTTCAAGATACTCAGGAAGCTAGTATTACCTGATGGATCAGTCCTACGGGCAAGACATGCAGGTCGGCCTACTCGAGACTGCTTATTTCAGGACCCTGTGATGGATGGAAAAAGGTATGGAAGAAATGTTTGTTATTAGTCTCATTAGAACCGATGCACGGAACTTTGAACCACTGAACCTTTTGTGGCATTGTCTTCCCTGCAGTATATTGAAAATATGGAACTTGAACAAGTTAACCGGGATCGTAGGCGTGTTTAACTGCCAAGGCGCAGGACAGTGGCCATTGATGAAAGTGGCTCAGAATGAAGATACCTCAAAGTCTACAAATTTAACAATCACAGGTAGTGTCCGACCAAATGATGTAGAATTTCTCGAAGATGTTGCAGGTGAAAACTGGGATGGAGATTGTGCAGTTTATGCGTTCAACTCAGGTTTGATTTCCACTCCTTTTTTCTCCATTTCTCTCTGATAATCAGACACTTAAAGCTGAAAAAGTTTGAACTTATGTTTGTAGGATCTCTTTCTAAATTGAAACGGAAAGAAAGTGTTGAGGTTGGATTGAGAACTTTAGAGTGTGAGATATACACCATTGCTCCAATCAGGGTCAGTGAAGATATATATATATATATATATAAGTTATGAGTGTCATCATCACTTCGAAACTAGTTATTGATCTAAATGGTTATATGATCAGGTTTTCGGCAACGATATTCACTTCGCACCAATAGGATCGCTCGACATGTATAATTCAGGAGGAGCTATCGAAACTCTAAGTCATAGTATGGATCTTTCACAATGCACCATCAAAATGAGGGGACGATTCTGTGGCAGATTTGGAGCATACTCGAGCACGAAACCAAGCCGATGCACAGTTGACCTGAAAGAAGAGGAGTTTACATATGAATCTGGAAGTGGACTATTAAGAGTGAAACTTGAAGATGGTTCCATTTCAAGAGAGATAGAGTTTGTATGTTGATGATATGTTGAGCATGAGGAATATTTTGTTTGAAATATGAATCTCAGCCGTTCATTTCGGCTAAATCTTGTAAAAACAATCACACTATATAATAAAAAGTTTGGTTTCATTTGGGCTTAAACTCATCTGACTGGACCTTGTTGTCTAGAGCCCAAAGAAGAATTTGGCCTACTGGACCTTGTTGTGTAGATCCCAAAGAAGAATTTGGGCCTACTGGACCTTGTTGTGTAGAGCCCAAAGAAGAATTTGGGCCTACTGGACCTTGTTGTGTAGAGCACAAAGAAGAATTTGGGCCTACTGGACCTTGTTGTGTAGAGCACAAAGAAGAATTTGGGCCTACTGGACCTTGTTGTGTAGAGCCCAAATAATAATTTGGGCCTAAACTCATCTGACTGGACCTTGTTGTGTAGAGCCTAAATAAGAATTTGGGCCTAAACTCATCTGACTGGACCTTGTTGTGTAGAGCCCAAGATGTGGGCCTTTTTATGCTTTCAGTCCGTTAATTTCTCTCTCTCTCTTCTCTCTTCTCTCTTCTTTCTCTCTGTTCCTTCACTGACCCTTATCCTCACCTCCTGGGTGTTAGGCCTCTCCTCTAAAACCCTTCTTCGTTCTCTCTTCATCTCCTCTCCCTGAGATTCGGAAATGGCTTCTTCTTCAGCCACTTCAATTTTGAAGCCCTTATCCAAGGCAGATTCTTGCCTTCTCTCTTTGCCTTCTCTCTTCACCTGCAGACCCCCGCACTCTTTTCTCTCTTTCCCTTCCAAATTCACCACCGCCCCCTTCCATCTTTCCTCTTCTCATTGTTCTTCGCTCTTTTCCTCCTCGAAGAAGAAGACACATCTCTTATCGCTAGTTGCCTCTGTGGCCCAGTCTTCGGAGTGGGGCCAAGAAGACGATACCATCACCATTGACCCAAAACTCAGCGGCGACGAGGATGGCGAAGAAGGCCCTCATTGGGAAAATCAAGAGCTCAGTGAGAATGAGTCTCGTATTTCTGATTGGGAAGGTGAAGGCGAAGGCGAAGATGATGGAGGAAGTGAGGGTGAAGGAGGAGGAGTTTTGGAGCTGGGAGACGAGGAAGAAGGCCCTTTGGAGGAGCCAAATGAAGACGCTAAATTGTATGTTGGGAATTTGTCATATGACGTCGATAGTCAAAAGCTTGCAATGCTGTTTGAGAAGGCTGGAACTGTCGAGATTGCTGAGGTGAGATTCCAGAGTTTGGTGAATTGAATGTTTTTTTGTTTATGAATTTAGGGTTTAAGCTCTTAATCTTCTGCTTGTGAGGACTGTAGGTTATTTACGACCGACAATCAGATCGGAGTCGTGGTTTCGGTTTTGTGACAATGAGTAGTGTTGAAGAAGCTGAGAAAGCTGTGGATACCTTCAACCGTTATGTAAGCTTTTGATCTTCAATTTCTTCATAAATCCAAACCTTATCTAACTTTCTCTTCTACACAGGATTCACCCATATTTGATTATCATGAAACCTCCTCTTCATTCCTACTTTTCAGTGGAAAATTCAGAAGAATTTATATGAACTGTTTTTCATGAATCTTAGAGTTAGGGTCTGTATGGGTCTAGATTGATTTGTTTGAGTGGCTCTGTCTCTTTCCTGGCTAAGGCTGATCTTGTTCTCGGGGTTTGCCATTGATTTGTTTTGAGGTTAATGTTCCTATAAAGGAAGGCCATGTCCTTGTGTAAACCTATTGTCTGGGCTGTTACTAGAGTATCTCAAACATATCAATTGGTTTCTTTTTTCCTTCGGTTGAGCTGCCCCTTGATTTTTGCTTGCTTCTTAAAATCTTAATTGATTGTGTGGGTTAATAGGAGTTCTTGGGGAGGACGTTGGTTGTTAATAAGGCTGCCGCCAGAGGTTCAAGGCCAGAACGCCAACCACGAACATTTCAACCAGCTTTCAGAATCTATGTTGGTAATCTTGCATGGGAAGTAGACAGTGCACGCCTGGAGCAGGTCTTCAGTGAACATGGTAAAGTAGTAGACGCTCGGGTTCTTTACGACCGGGACAGTGGCCGTTCTCGTGGATTTGGCTTCGTGACCATGGCCGACGAAACTGGAATGAATGATGCCATTGCTGCTCTGGATGGGCAGGTATGAAAATTGCAGTTTCTTTACAGCAATCATTTTAGAATCCGAACTTGATAACACCCAGTTACTTGAATCTTGTCAACTGCTAAGAAAACATTCTGGAATTTGAAATATGCAGAGTGTAGATGGAAGGGCAATCAGAGTGAATGTTGCAGAGGAAAAACCAAGGCGCAACTTCTGAACTGAACCATGATATGATGAAACCCAATGCCCTTTTTCTCTTGTTTGTTCTGTGTTTCGCTTTTCTTCATCTTTTCTTCCTAAAGTATAGGTGAGTTTTGTAGTGCCATTGTTTAGCCACCTTGTAAAAGTGCAATTTGATGTCCTTTATGCTTTCACAATTTCAAGTCTGTTATTATTCTGGATTGATGCGAGTTACTTGTTTCAAAAGTGTTGTACCTTTTTTTATCCTTCCACCCTGCTCTCGATACCTCATTCACTGAAGTTACCAAAATTTGATATTAGTCACTGAAGGAGACGAACAAATCATCCGGGAATAAACGATCCATCATTGAAACATGAACCCCCTCGAGAACATGGCCAAAGGGTTGTTGAAATTTCGTAATGATAAATGTGTCAAACACACTTATTTTGGACCAAATATCCACATTGAGGATTAAATTTACAAGGATGATATAGTTCAACAAACGGTTTCAAAAAGTTCCTATACAGCATTCTTGATAAAAGCTATGCGCAAACCAGATCAGTTGTCACCTAACTGAGCTTCTCGACTGGTAAGGGGCACATAACGAACAGAAGTCTCGTCGTGGATGTTAATAGAGCCATCGGTATCTTTGTCCACAACCTTTAAATCCTGGAATATGTTCCCAACTGGAATCACCATTCTCCCGCCTGGTTTTAACTGGTCAATGAGAGCCGGAGGAATTTCAGCAGCAGCTGCTCCAACATGAATGGCGTCGTACGGTGCACACTCTGCCCAACCCTGCCTGCCATCTACAACATCCAATAACAATAACTAACCGAAGTCTTGTCGTGAAAGTGTCTTGTTTTCGAAGTGTTTCACTCGAAAGTAAACTACCATTACTCTCAAGAATATATCATTCCAGTTCAAAAATAAAATGGGTGCAAGAATATCACTTGACGGATCAACCAAACTAAGGAAAAGAGTTCCTATTCTAGATTAAAAGAACAATTATGGCTCTAGGAACTGGAAAAGAAGACGAACGTACCACCAACATGTACAGAGAGGGAGCCTTTTTTCAGTAAAGGAGCAGCAGCACTTTTTTCAATATTCTTGATTGAGGAAGCAACCAGCTCAGGAATATGTTCCACACCAACGGCACGACCTTCGGGTCCAACCATTAATGCAAAGCATGCAGTCAAGTATCCCGTTCCTGCCAAGGTGACCAATTTAAAACATAAAGGAACGGGTAGGGGTCGAGGAATTGATATTTTGGAGTTGAAAATCCAATTTCAAACATGAAGGGTAATAAAATCGTATCTTCTTAGAGTAATAAACAGCCGGAGGAACCTTGTCTGTTTGCCCTTTTGAGCTAGCATTTTAGCCCTATCTGGAAATCAAGTAGTCGAAAAAATCGAATCTTGAAGAATGAATACCCACAACCTTCACTAACCAGATAGCATTTTCAATTGGGTAGTGTGTGTCAAGAGAACACTGAACCCTTGTAGGACAAACCACAATAATTCTTCTACAATTTAGATGTTTTTCTTTTCTTTTGGTGGGGAGCACTCAAGAAGTGCAAGTAAAAGTAAAGATGGAGAATATGTGATATCTCACATTGGTTGGGGAGGAGAACAAATCACCATATATAAGGGTGTGAAAACCTTCTCCTAGCAGACGCGTTTTAAAGTCTTGAGGGGAAGTCCGAAAGAAAAAGCCCAAAGAGACAATATCTGCAAGCGGTGGATCTTGGGTCGTTACAAATGGTATCAGAGCCAGGTACCGGACGATTGCCAGCCTTCTCGCTGTTCCCCGAAGGGGAGTAAACACGAGATGGTGTGCCAGTAAGGACGCTCGGCCCCAAAGGGGATGGATTTGGGGGCGGTCCCACATCGATTGGAGGAAGGAAAAGAGTGCCAGCAAGGACGCTGGGCCTCGAAGGGGGGTGGATTATGATGTCCCACATTAGTTGGGGAGGAGAACAAATCACCATATATAAGGGTGTGGAAACCTTCCCCTAGCAGACGCGTTTTAAAGCCTTGAGGGGAAGCCCGAAAGGGAAAGCCCAAAGAGGACAATATCTTCTAGCAATGGATCTGGGTCATTACAGAATACATCAAATCCTTGAGGAAATGTCTGTTAGAAATCATGACTCTCCACAATAGTATGATATTGTCGACTTTGATCATAAGCTCTCATGTCTTTGCTTTGGGCTTCCCCAAAAGGCCTCATACCAATGGGGATGTATTCCTTAATTATAAACCCATGATCATTTCCTAAACTAGCCTATGTGGAACTCTCTCCCAACAATCGTCAACAATGTCCAAACTCATATTGTCCTCTTTAGCTTTCCCTCAAAGTTTTTAAAATGTGTCTATTAGGTTGAAGTTTCCACACCTTTATAAAGAATGTTTCATTCTACTCCCCAAACAATGTGGGATCTCACAATATATATTTATGATTATAAGTTACTTAGAACTCAAACATAGTTGGGCATCCATAGGAACTCAACAGTTACGATAAAACCACGAATGCAATTTTCAGTACGTAGAAAATGTCAGTAAGATGGATAACCTGAGCCAACGTCCAGAGCTCGCATTCCAGGCTGCAAGTGTTTCTCCAACAACTGAAGGCAAGTAGCATGCATGTGAGGTGCAGATATAGTGGCATTGTAACCTATCGGCAGGGGAGTATCGACATAAGGAGGAACACCATCCGGTACAAAGAAGGCCCTATCTACACTCTCCATTACTTCAGAAACCTTCTTTGACCTAACCACTCCATAGCTCTGGAGATTCTCCACCATTTCTTTGTTTGTACCTATGCCACTTCCACTCCAGAATCTCTGCAATGTGATACTACGATCAAACATTCAACCCCTTATAAAGAATTGAAAACGAAAAATACTTCCCCTTAATAGAAACACAACAATAATAAACAATTCACAAAGGAATTCCTAAGTCTACCTCATTAATTCATAAAGCTATTCATCTTCAATGCGACCCTTGGCTCATTATCGTTAATGCAATTACCTTATCAATCTCCACAGCCTCAGAAGCCGGGCCGTTTAGGGACGAAACCTGTCCGTCCAATACACTCGGACATGCATGCCGTCGAATATCATTATCAAAAGATTGCACATCCCAAGGAAAATATACCAGAATAGAATACACTACACATACCACTCGAATTAAAATCCCCTGAAACTACATGTATTGAAAAAAAAAAAAAATACAGTGAATGATTAAAATGAAGATTCAAGAATGTATCAAGAAGTTTCAAAGCGATGCTTCTCTATGGAACAATTTCGAATTATCCAAAATCCAGATAAGAGAGAAAGACGAACAAATTTTTACACAGCTTCTTCCTTCTAAAATCGTATACAAAAATATCAAAAGTTGGGTCGTGGATGCACATACAAACAAACAAACACGATATACCTTCAGCGTCAGAAATGGATGGGGGGGCAATTCATCCATTTTGGGGAAATCCAAGTATCTCCAATTTCAAATAACGAAAATCGGTGGGAATTAGCGGTAGATAGAGAGAGAGGGAGAGAGTACCTCCATCCTGGAAAGAAGACAATTTCCCGTGACGAAATGAGGGTTTAGAAATCGAGGTAAGAAGGGGATGATAGTGGTGGTGGTTTTCGGAACAGAAGAAGCGGTCGGTGGTAGGGCGGTGGGAAGACGGAGAGGGAGACGGCGGTGGCGGCGGAGGGATGAGGGGGTGTTGAAGTACAGTCCAATAGAAGGCGCACAATAGCGGAGTGACGGGGATATTTGAGTTAAATTCATTTTCTCCTTCTTTCCCCATTAATCCATCAGAATAAAATAATTAAATACATAGACAGCTGTCAGCAAAAATTCCACACCGCCTTGAGTATTTTTTTTTTTTCACACGTGTGAGACCAAACGGAAAATCAAAAATTCCCATCCTGACCCGTGCAAATCCACGCCTCCCCGGCTTCACTACTTTTTAATATATATATTGAATTTGAATTTTTAGTAATTATATTTGAAATCTCCTATTATATTTTTATTTACATAATATTATCAAATTTATTATGATATTATATATTTTTAAAATAGATGAAAAATTTTGTAACCTACTTTATTATTGAAGTTCATAAAAATTGAAAATTTTCGTCCTATCTGGAAAACGTCTCTAAGTCATAGCATTATTGATGTTTTAAAACTACCATTAAAATAAAAAATATGTTTGACATGAAATAATATAAAATATATTTTGTAGTCTAAAACGAAAATTAAAATTCAAATACGATCACGTGCTTTAATTTTAATTTTAATTTTTTTTATTAGTAAATTGTTATTTTGTTTGAAATGGGGCATTATATGGTACTTGATCTAATTTGCAATTGAGAGCAGTCCAACTAATTAAAATATTGTGTTTCTTTTATTCCACAAAGCCACTAGCGTAGCAGTCATATTTAATTAATTGGTTTTATGGGACAATTAAAGTTTATCTTTACTGATAAAAGAAAAAATAGAGGTGAAATGAATTTAATAGGTTAAAATTGATTTTTCGTGTGGGGAGAAATAATAATAGAGGGACAGAAAAAGGACAGCATTTGTGTGGTGTGGGGCCCGTGGACTGGGTCTATATCTAAGCATTAAGGCATGGATCCATCGGCTGATAATAGCTAGAAGACTCGGTGCCCTTGGCCCCTCAATCCGTTTACTTGAGTGAAAACAAAGACTTTAACGCGTATTCAAGATTCCAAAGAAGTTTCAAAGTATTTTCCACGTCAAAGTATAAATGTAGTATCTAATATTTAATCTATCTAAAATTATTTTTAAAATTCACAAATGTATGCGATAGAATTTTAAATTTATAAAATTTAGATAGAAAAAGTGTGGTAGGTTTTTAACTAATCAAATAAAATTAGTAATAAAATTTTGTTGAGTTATCGTCAGTGGTCAAAATCTATTGTTGGGGGAAAATTGCATTCCTGGCTGCCTTGGTTGTTGGAGTTTCAAGGCTTGTTTCCTCGTCTAAATAGTAACCAAGAATTGAAAGTTGAAAGCCTTCGCAAACAAATAATAATAATATGTTTGAAGCCGAATGCTAAAATAAGACTCAATTTTTTTTGTTAAATTCAAATCAAGCTTATAAACACTAATTCCACATTAAAAAAAGTTACTTACCTAAACTGACTAAAAAAAGCTAAAGCCGAGCTCAATCACTTTCCCATTGAAGTTTAATCATTTTATTGTTTTTAAAAATATATATTTATTCAATACTTTCAAAAATAAATGTTGTTAAATTTTATTGAATTTATATTTATATTTTTTTATTTTAAAATTTTTGTATTATTATTATTATGATTTGTTTTACAACATCATTGATTTATAGTGTCATTTTGTATATTTTTTTTTAATTTTTAATTAGCTTTTATCGCTTTTAAAATTTTATATTAACTATAAACTATAATATTTAAACTATAAAAATATTTAACAAATATTAAGTTCTTTTTTAATATATAAAATATAATATATAAAGGAACTATACACCTGACCAAATAATAACATAATGAATCGATTTAAATATGACTCAATCAAAGTTTAATTTTGAGAAATTAATTTTGAGCCAAGCTTAGATTGCAATAAGGCTTCTGACTTTCAAGTCTATTGATGAGAACGAGTGATGGGATGGTCTTTGTACTATTCTTCTCCCTAAAATTGAAGATTTAAATTTCTAATAACTATTTTTTGTGAATTTTATTTTTTTAAAAAAAAATCAAGTGAGATTTTGACTTTAACGTATTAAACAATTAGATACTTTGAAAAGTAAATAAAAATTGAAGGATGACCAAAATTAAAGTGGGCTCCAGCCATCCAATTGTGATCCCGTTTTTCGTTGGAACCACGCCTATAAAGAAGAAGACCAAGTCCAACACTACTGCCAATTCTTTTGCTCGCCGGCAAACTCCCTTCGCTCGCAGCCGGAAAATGGCTTTACCTTCCTCCAAACTCCTTCCATTCTTAGTTTTTCTCTCCGTCCTTTTCCATGTCCATGCCCGACTGAACATTGATCCTTCAGATCTCAGAGCCTTTTCTATCATCAAGAATAACTTGGGTATTGACGGTCAACTCTCCCCCTACCCATGCGACAACGCCGGTGTATTCTGCGAGAGACGGCTCTCCAGCAACGGCACTTACGTTTTGAGGGTCACCAGGCTCATTTTCAAGTCCAAAGATCTTGCTGGTTCTCTTCCTCCGGCTATCGGCCGGCTATCGGAGTTGAAAGAGCTTACGATTTCTAATAATCACCTCGTTGACCAAGTGCCTGCCCAAATCGTCGACTGCCGGCAATTGGAAGTTCTCGATCTCCAAAACAACCACTTTTCTGGAAAAGTTCCGACCGGATTGTCCTCGTTGACTCGCCTTCGGGTCATCGATCTTTCGTCCAATAAGTTCTCGGGGAGTTTGGATTTCTTGAAGTATTTTCCCCATTTGGAAAGTCTCTCCATAGCCAACAATTACTTCACGGGGAGAATCCCAGCTTCAATTCGTTCTTTTCGCAATCTTCGAGTCTTCAACTTCTCAGGAAACCCCCTTCTCGAAAGTTCATACCCCATCGTGAAAGGCGTTGAGTTCTACTCAACTACCGAAGTTCCCAAGCGTTATAAGTTATTAGCTGAGAAGTCCAGTACGAAAGGCAATCACAGTGCCGCCGCCACAGCGCCAACTTCGAGTGCTCAAGCTCAATCTCCTGCGGCCTCACCTCCTCATAGGAACCGGAAGAATAAAGCAAAGATAGTACTTGCTTGGATTCTTGGGTTCCTCGCTGGAGCAATTGCTGGAAGTTTGTCAGGGTTTATCTTTTCACTAATGGTTAAACTCGTCATAGCAGCTATAAAAGGTGGAAGCAAGAATTCGGGACCCTCAATATTTGCACCTAAGCTGATAAAACGAGAGGATCTGGCTTTTCTAGAGAAAGACGATGCACTAGCATCGCTCGAACTGATTGGAAAAGGTGGATGTGGAGAAGTTTACAAGGCGGAATTACCAGAAAAAAGCGGTAAAATGTTTGCGATAAAGAAGATAACTCAGCCCCCAAAGGACGCAGCCGAGTTAGCTAACGAGGATAGCAGGTTTATGAGCAAGAAAATGCGTCAGATCAAGTCAGAGATCAGAACTGTGGGTGAAATCCGGCATCGGAATCTTCTTCCTCTTGTGGCCCATGTCCCCCGTCCTGATTGCCATTACCTTGTGTACGAGTTGATGAAGAATGGAAGCTTGCAAGATATATTGAATCAGGTTTCAGGAGGAGTGAAAGAACTAGACTGGCTTACTCGGCATAACATCGCTCTCGGAGTGGCATCTGGGCTGGAGTATCTTCACATGAACCATACCCCGCGTATTATTCACAGGGATCTGAAGCCTGCAAATGTTTTGCTTGATGACGACATGGAAGCTCGAATTGCTGATTTTGGGCTGGCAAAAGCAATGCCAGATGCCCAAACTCACATGACAGCTTCAAATGTTGCAGGTACCGTAGGATACATCGCACCAGAGTATCATCAGACCTTGAAGTTCACTGATAAGTGCGATATATACGGCTTTGGGGTTCTGCTTGGTGTCTTGGTGATCGGGAAACTTCCATCTGATGAGTTTTTCCAGGACACGGATGAGATGAGTTTGGTTAAGTGGATGAAGAATGTGATGACTTCGGATAATCCTAGGAGAGCCATTGATCCGAAGCTCCTGGGTAATGGCTGGGAGGAGCAAATGCTCTTGGCCCTCAAAATTGCCTGCTTTTGCACTATGGATAATCCAAAAGAGAGGCCTAACAGTAAGGATGCCAGATGCATGCTGTCACAGATCAAGCACGATGTACCTGAAACTTCCTCTCTAAACGTCTAAAATAATAATGCTTGCAAATGATTGTATCTGTTTAATTTCTGCTTCCAAAAATGCGCGTTGTCAATCAAAGATCTAAATGTTTATATATTTGTGCACTTTGATCATCTGCTTGCGTATTCCAAGGCAAAACCTAAACGTAAATTTTGAAAATGAAATAGCAAGGTCTAAGAAAGATGAGGAACACCCTAAGAGGACACACAGAAACAGGAAGAGGAGCAACTGTGTACTGCTACAGTCCAGATTGCAACTAAGACACTTGTCCTTCTCAGTACTTCAATATTACGTATCAAAGAATAGAACGTAATTATTTTTAGTTACTAAACATTCATAAGGTATCATGAACCCACCGGCATCCTAACAATACGAACCCTGGATTGCATTTTAATGATCATTTTCTACTACCATAGTACCCATATCTATCATTCACGTTCTGTTGGCTTTTACTTTTTTGCCCTCAAAAGATCTCTGGACGGGGACTCAACAATTTTGATCAAGGAATTTTATTTATTTCCTTTATATTTTTCTGCTTTTCAATCTTTTATTCAGGCTTTACGAAAAATAGGATCACAAGAATTACTTACTAATGATGATAAATTATTTGATAGTGGAAGAACAAGAATCAGACAGACCTTGTTCATACAAATTCTTTTATTGGCTGCTTGATCCTCCTGGAAAAGACATCTCTTAGCCGACCTTAGAGGAATCTCTTACAAAAACCAAACAAACCAGCAAGAGGAATTTTTAATGGATAGGAAGTTCTTTCATTGAGAAATTTATTCACAACACCAGCTGTGCATTCTGAAACCTACTTCTATAGACTATGGAGTGTGAGCACCGAGTTAGAATTGGACTGATGAACCAGATTGATGTTTGTATTGGGATCAGAAGAAGGCTACAAAACGAGAAAACTCTCCTACCCTCCCAATTACAAACTACTTGAAACATATACCAATATCTACCCCCAAGCCCATTCTATTTATGAGATCTCTCTCATATTAGCAAACTTAGGCATTAACGACTGATACAGCCCCAATAATCACTCCATAAATCAAGAACTTAATCTTCAAGAGCAAAACATTGAAACGTATGAAACAGAATGCTACCTCAAAAGTCCAGTAGTAACTGCGGAAGAATCCTCTCCAAATGAGTGGCTTCAATTCTGCTAATACCTTCTGCTTCAGCAATTGTTGCAGCACGCTGTACGGCCTCTGCATAAATAAAAGAGTTAACCTAAAAGAAGAAGAAATTTTTTATAAACCAAATTAGCTTCTGACTTTAGGTACCTGACACAAAGATTTGTAGAAGTTTAGAGCTCAATTTAAGTGCATTAGCATTGGCTGCATGGGAATAGCGAGGTTAGAAATGGTTTCTGCATCTTCCGGTAGACGGCAACCATTCAAAGAACACGAGCTTGATGGAAAAAAAACTCGCATAATAGAAACTACGATTTAGAAATGAAAAACAAGTTGTTGACGTAAAATCTAATGACACCTGACATCGGCCTGCTCTTCTTTGATGTTCCAGCGTCAACCTGAATAACATATGTGAGCTAAAGATCAACTCCACTGGTCTAATCGAGAAAGAACCTTACTTCAAGTTCGCAACAAGATAGATAATCACTGATTTGTTGTTAAATCCATTAGACTACATATCAACTTTCATATATACTTCTGCCTTGTGCATATGTTCGGTAGTTGAAATGTACACAAAATTGGTAGAATCGTGTGAACTTCAAGAACTAACAAGAGCATTCTAAGATTTACCTATGTACCAGTACATCGAAAACCAAAACGACGACAAACATTTTCACGGAAGAAAATAATAGCGGTTAAAGAGAAATTTTCACAATAAACTCCGGTAAAGGAAATCACCTCACAATCCATAGCATCCGAGCTCTCGTTTTTCTCGCGCTCTGAAGAAATGCGAGCACCAAAACGGAAAATGAAGAAATTATCAGAAAGAAGAGGAAACAAAGATAACTAAAAATTGAAAGAAAAGAAAAACTAGACGGAAGGAGAGAGCGATCCGAAGTCCAACCAAGTGATCTTCTGGTCCACTCAAGCTTGAAGATGGCGTGAATCAGATCCTGTCAATTATATACAAACAAACACCTAGTTGAATGGAAAGCATACAAGTAGCAGACATTTAAGAGAACAAACAATCGACGAATAAAACTTCAATGAAAACGATCAAACTGGAAGATGAAAGATTACAGGATCGAATGTGCTCTCTTCCATGGCGAGCGAGACTAGCGACTGCGAGAGCGAGTCTGCAAGAAGCAACTTTAAAATTACAACTTATTCCGCACCAAATCGTTTTGATCTGCTTTCCCTCTTTCAGTTGCCGCTCGTTTTAGTATTTATATGCATTTATTTGGGCTAACGACTTTTATGTCATTTATTCTATGTATTTGGGCTTGTCTTTTATGCCATTTATTTGGGCTTAAAGTAGGGCCCAATTTGAGGCCTGCACCAAATCAACTCTCTTGTCACGTGCGCAGTTTAATTTTTGAAATTGTTTAAATAAACAAATATATATTTTTTATTTATTTGAAAGAACTTTTAATTTACAAGGGATAACTTAGGGAAATTAAATGGAATAAATCAAAGCCACAACCTCCAAACTCGTATTTCTCCGTCCAAACTGGCACTACAGATCATCAAACACCGTTCACCGGCTCCGACCACGACCAACGACTTCACCGGCGATCTGTGTCCTTCCATCACAGCCGTACATTGATAACCATTTGTGACGTCACCTCTCCAAATCCTGACGGTCCGATCCTCGGACCCACTGACTAACAAATCTCGGACACTATACAAGCACAATACAGCCCCTTCATGACCCCATAAAGCCTCCACAAACCCAATCTGCTTCCCCGCCTCATCTTTCTTCCACACCATTATCAAACGGTCACTGCTCCCGGAAAACATCACCGTCCCTCCCTTGTTCAGTGCGATTGCATTTATCTGTTTCAATATAGACATTAAATTTGTTACTAATCATGTCGGGATGATACTGTCATTTTGAACATAAACTCTAGTAATTTTGAACTCCACCTAATAATTATAAACAAAATTTAGGGGTTATGCTTACCGAGGATTTATGCTTGTCCAAAGTCTTCACCAACCTATGCTTCTTTTTCTCCCCCTCCCTGATCTCCCAAACTCCGATAATCCCATCGGCAGAGCCAGTGTAAACGACGCCGTTCTGACCCACACCAACCGCGTTGACTGCATCGTCGTGGGCTTTCACCGACGACAAACACTTATGGTCGGAAGCACTCCAAACCTTAAAACTCCGATCCCAGGAAACAGAGTACACAAACCCCTCATTAACCACCAACCCAGAAACCGCATCCCAATGCTCAATCCACAGCCGCTTGTGGTGGCGCCGTACATGAACGTAATTACTCGGCGAAATAAACCGGTAGAGCTTGTCCTTAACGGTGGGAAGAGTAGCCAGAAGACGGTGTCTGTGTCGTCGTTTTGAACAGGTGATCTTCCACACGCGGATCTTGCAGTCCTGGTGGGCCGTGAAGATTTTCCAACGCCCAAAAGCGATGGACTTCACGGACCCCGAAGCAGCGTCGTTAGTGCGAAGCGTGTCGATTTGGGTAAAGTTGGTTAAATCGAAGACGGCGATTTGGTTGGTGGAGCCGGAGTAGAGGAGCCCGTTGTGAGCGGCCAGGCAACTCGTGTTTGGGGTTGTGAGAGTCGCAAGCTGAAACGGCGTCGTTTGACATGGCATTGTGCATGTTTGAGAAACCATGGAGATCAACGAGAGACTGTCTGCAATGGAGAAGATCCGGTCGAGGGATTTTCAGGTTATAAAAGCGTGGGAGCACTTGTGATGTGTGCTACACGTGGCGACAGTAGAATAATTTTAACATTCTTTATTTGCCACGTGTCCTAATGGCGGTTGATGCGATTAGTTTATGCCGTTTCGGTTGTCTTGGGAATTCGAGTCACTGGATGGAGAGATGCCTGATTGGTCGGGATTTGATTCAGGTGTGGGAGGACCCATCAAAGATACGGAAATCGGACATTTTCGTAATTTTATGGTATAAAAAATTCTAATAACTTAACCAATGCTATAATTTTAAATTTTATTAGAAGTTATAATTTAAGCAATTTAAATTTAAATAAAATTATTAAACATCGTCTTTTCTAATTACTGTAATGCAACGTTGATTACATATATTTAAGAGACTTATATCTATCTCATTATTACTCTAATATTATATTTATATGTTATTTTTTTCGTGGTAAATTTCTATACATGAATAATAAACCATTACTCTAATTAAAGTTAATATTTGTTAATATTATTATTATTTTTCATTTTATGTGATTGTTGAAATAATTGAACTCGCAATTAATTTCTATACTGATAATTGCATTAGTAAAATATTTTATGTCCCTATAAGCCCTAAAACCTTCAAATGTAGCCCAAACAAGTCTCAATTATTCATATATTAAAAACTATGTGGTAGGTAGAGATTGAACATTATTTAAGTTAAAAGGGAGGCAATGTCTTGCAGGGCAAGTAGAATAAAAAGAGGGGAATATCAAATCACATAAACTACAATGTTTTTTTTTTAGCAAAACATGTGACATGTGACATTAAATTATTAAATTATGTACTATATAATTGAATCTGAAACGTGTCATGTTCTTAGTTAAGTTTGTTTAAATATATCGAAAAAGGGGAGACAATAGGAGGGCATGTGTCCCATAGACCAATGGAGGTGCATCAAATGATTATTGTGGGAGCAATGTGATGTGATCAACCACTCTTGATTGAGACAAATGCAAGGGCGCGTTAACAAAATTCCCTCAACCAATCAAGCGAAGAATAATATAAAATTTGTCGTCTTGTAAAAAATAAAATGTACAAGTCGTAGCTATAGATTATTGAGAGGAGTAGTCCTGCGTTAACAAATTAGGATGAATATCAAACATGAACCGACAATATGAAAGCGTGTGGGAAAAGAAAAAAAAAAGCTGACCCATTTCAGCTTTGAAATGGTAGGGGGAGTGGCAGGAGAGAGAGAGAGAGGGGGAATGTAAGGCGATAAGTCCAAATTGAGTGAGGCCCATTT